AAAAGCACCCCTTTCTGATGTTTCTGTAGGTCAAGAGAAGAATCATCATTCAACAATACAATATTTGGGAGACAGGGTATGTGAACTCCAATAATCTCAGATACAATGTCAATAACTTGTTTCCAGAACGTTCTTACTGCAGTACATTCATAAACCATGTGTACATATGTGCCAATAGTCTTTTGGTTACAGAGAAGGCATATGGGGCTTGGAATCATCCTTAATTGACAGCATGTTCTGGTTGACAGGTAATATCTGTGTATCATTTTATACTGTATCAATTGGTGATTGTGGTTACGCGATGTTAAGGAGATATTATTCCATATTCTCTTCCAATCAATAGTCGGCATATCATTTTTTAGATCTGCGTTCCATACTGCAGAGATGCCAATATATCCGGTTTATTTATCTTGCAGCTTTATATGAAGTAGTGCCGCTCACACTGTTTGAACTTAATATGACCTTAACTAATTGATGTGTTGGCAGAGGTTGATTCCAAGGAACTCCATATTTGCGCATGTCAGTACGTAGTTGCAAATAGAAAAAGAAAGAAGAGCCAGGCACATTATACGTGTCTTTCAATTCTTGGAAGGACATCAAGCCGTTGTCGTTGGTTATGTCAGAAAGATAATGTATTCCTCGAGTTTGCCATTGTGGGAATTGGATTGCTTTTTTTCCAATACGTAACAGGTTATGACAAATTGGTATGTTACTATGCCAATCTACAGACCAATTGCACAATTTCTCTACATGTTTCCACACTTTCACAGCTTGGCCAATAATTGGTCCAAATGTTTGCATCCAGTCATACAGAAAATAAGACATCACCAAGTTTAAGGGGATAGACTATACTTCTTTCAATTATAATCCAAGGTACATTGGTGCTTTCATCAATCCAGTTTTTCAAGGCTCGAAGCGTGAAGGAATAATAATACAGCTCGAGATTGGGAACATTAAGGCCTCCACTGTTTTTGTCATATTGTAGAACTTTGTACCTGATTCTTGGGTATTGGTTTTTCCAAATATATTTTGAAATCCTATTCTGAAGTTTGTCCCAAAAACCGTCTGGTGGAGATAAAGGTAACATACTAGCTAAGAAATTGACTCTTGGTAGAACATTCATCTTTATGATTGAAATTCGTCCTGCTAAAGAAATTATTATATTAATCCACTTTTTTAGGTGATCTTTAATTGTTGTATAGATTATTTTGTAGTTCTTTGCTACTATTGTGTCTAATGAGGCATATATATCAATTCCCAAATACTTAAAGTGTTGGACGATCTGCAATTCTGTATTTAGGTTTAGTTCAACCATGGCACTATTGAGGGGTAAAAGACATGATTTATTCAAATTGATCTTGTAACCAGATATTGAACTAAATTGGGTAAAAATATTTAACAGTTTAGGAAGCGTAGTTGGTACCAATGTTGTGGTCTGTCTTTTACAACTATCTGTTTTACTTCTTTGGATAGTCTTATTTTCCGTGCAAGCGGTTCTAGGAAATCAGATTGTAGGATTTTTAATGAATTAATTGGTAAATTCCTCGGTAAAATGAGTATTTGGTCACCAACAAACAAACAAGATTTCTGGCTCTCACAGACCTGTAACTTCTTCTTTAAGAGCCTCCTCTGTCTTCCACTTGTTAACTGTATTAATGGCACCTCTTTGAACTCGTTATCAGTATAAAAGACACCTGTCCACAACCTCAAACAGTCACACTCCAAACTCCACTATGGCCAAGACCAAAGAGCTATCAAAGGACACCAGAAACAAAATTGTAGACCTGCACCAGGCTGGGAAGACTGAATCTGCAATAGGTAAGCAGCTTGGTGTGAAGAAATCAACTGTGGGAGCAATTATTAGAAAATGGAAGACATACAAGACCACTGATAATCTCCCTCGATCTGGGGCTCCACGCAAGATCTCACCCCGTGGGGTCAAAATGATCACAAGAACGGTGAGCAAAAATCCCAGAACCACACGGGGGGACCGAGTCAATGACCTGCAGAGAGCTGGGACCAAAGTAACAAAGGCTACCATCAGTAACACACTACGCCGCCAGGGACTCAAATCCTGCAGTGCCAGACGTGTCCCCCTGCTTAAGCCAGTACATGTCCAGGCCCGTCTGAAGTTTGCTAGAGAGCATTTACATGATCCAGAAGAGGATTGGGAGAATGTCATATGGTCAGATGAAACCAAAATAGAACTTTTTGGTAAAAACTCAACTAGACGTGTTTGGAGGAGAAATAATGCTGAGTTGCATCCAAAGAACACCATACCTACTGTGAAACATGGGGGTGGAAACATCATGCTTTGGGGCTGTTTTTATGCAAAGGGACCAGGACGACTGATCCGTGTAAAGGAAAGAATGAATGGGGCCATGTATCGTGAGATTTTGAGTGACAACCTCCTTCCATCAGCAAGGGCATTGAAGATGAAACGTGGCTGGGTCTTTCAGCATGACAATGATCCCAAACACACCGCCCGGGCAATGAAGGAGTGGCTTCGTAAGAAGCATTTCAAGGTCCTGGAGTGGCCTAGCCAGTCTCCAGATCTCAACCCCATAGAAAATCTTTGGAGGGAGTTGAAAGTCCGTGTTGCACAGCGACAGCCCCAAAACATCACTGCTCTAGAGGAGATCTGCATGGAGGAATGGGCCAAAAATACCAGCAACAGTGTGTGAAAACCTTGTGAAGACTTACAGAAAACGTTTGACCTCTGTCATTGCCAACAAAGGGTATATAACAAAGTATTGAGATGAACTTTTGTTATTGACCAAATACTTGTTTTCCACCATAATTTGCAAATACATTCTTTAAAAATCAGACAATGTGATTTTCTGGATTTTTTTTCTTCTCATTCTGTCTCTCATAGTTGAGGAATACCTAGGAGGAAAATTACAGGCCTCTCTCATCTTTTTAAGTGGGAGAACTTGCACAATTGGTGGCTGACTAAATACTTTTTTGCCCCACTGTACGTTTTTTATTTGCAAAACTAAATGCATTAGTTTGTAGAAGGTGTTTTGTATTTGCAAACCACACTGTGTTTGTTAGTGAATCATAGGGTATTTGTAAAACTCGTTTAGTTTGTGTGTGGAGTTAGGGCAGGAAATTAGCTCCATAGTTTACCACCCTTTAATTTGACATGATATACTTTTAAACGAATGATGACGAATGACGAAAGATGGAAAATAAAGACCTAAAATCTGTCATATTCAATGACAGATTGTAATTGTAATATGCTAAATAAAACCATCAGAGCTTTCTTATATTGTGTATGTATTCCCATCATGAGCATATTTTTATCAAACGACTTTATGTCAAATACTTTTAATCTGGTACGTTATACTGTGAAATAGATTAAATGTTTTTCCAGTCGTTTAATCTCCACCATGACATAAAGTGAGACAGGTTTAAAAAAAAAAAAAAAAAAAGCACAAATACTATGTATTGATTACTTTTGGGACTCTTTAAAGTGTTCTTCTCTAAGAGCATTGATGTCGACACTCACTTTGTGGTGAGGGAGGTCAGCAGAAAACCTCTCCAGTCTAAAGTCTGAGGGCCTGTCAGAAAAAAAGAAAAATCAATACACACTTGTGCTGGTCAGAAAAGATCTTCCATGAGTTAAATTAAAGACACCTCTTGACTTCAAAATAATACAGATTGGCGTCTTTTTACTCATACGTATGTATAAGCGTGTGAAGATCTGCAGCAGTGATTATTTAACGTGACATGTTGTGCACTGACAGCATGTTCCTGCTGCTTATGAGCTTGCACAACATCTCATAAATAAAGTGGAGAGGGCCAGAGGAGCATATTCAGCACATTTCATGGACTCACCCGGCTCTGCAAATGCCATTCAACGAAAAATGATACACACAACTCATATCTCTGAGTGCGGCTAGTGACACAAAGATCTCTCACAATGACTCAGCCATCAATCACTGCAGAATAGAATGAAATAAACAAACACACAATATTTTAGTGGTATTATTCTCATTCTGGGCATTGATTTAAAGGTATAATATTAAACATGTTTGGATTAAATATCCTGTATTGACTTGTCTGGCGTTATACATGGTTGAGTTGTGTACTTGCATTATACTAAGTGTTTTCGACATTTCAAAGATAAAGAAATATGTAAATTAAACCATGACAGGATCATTGAGATAAACTAAAGACTGCAACTCCCATGATGCAACACTACCTCACTTAAACGAAACTGTTATTAATCTGTGGCAGAAAATGAGATATTGTACATTAAAGTATATGCATTCTTTTAAATTGAAATCAGCCCTTTCAATATGTTTGGATGTATTTGTATTACATTTTCATGATCTAAGACCTGCAGATCTCCGAAGCTAAAGACGTCATGTTTCTCTTAGGAGGAGGCTGACTAGCTCATTATTATAATAATAAAATAATTATATTAACTTATTATTATTATAATAATGAGCTAATGTTCATCAGGTGGTGAGGACCCTCATGCTGCTCTGCATCTGCTGGAAGGCGAGTTGGCAATTATGGTACAACGCTAGCTAATATAATATGACGAGCACATACTGTAGGTTATTTGGGATTTGTCCTTCTGTTCCTCTCTTAAAATTAAAATAATTAATAGATTAATAAAATACAGGACAGGATGTATTTACATTAAAACACTTAATAATATATTTTAAGGACATACAGGACTATCTTATCATCTTAAAGACGACGCTACAAATAGCACTTCCATATTGTAAGGAAGTGTAATTAAAATACAAAGTTGTTCAGATAGTTAGACAACACAAGAGTTCAAGGAGCCGAACATGAAAATACTACCTGAAAAACGGCATGAAAGTAGAGTTCCTGGACATATTTAGAATAAAATACTGAATATCTTTACAGGACACACTTACCTCTGTCTCTCTGTAGGACGGCGCTCCAGCTGACTCTTATCTCCTGATAACTTCACCAAACTCATGCAAAACAAAGATCATCTGCAAAGAATCCACCAGCGATGATATTGAAATATTTATTACAGCTTATGAAACCACTGCTTCTATTGTAAAGCAGAGCATACAGAGCACATCCACTGCGGCTGGGCCAAAACGTCCTTTGGCACTAAAACTAACGAGGGAAATGAACTGAAAATCAGATCAAATAATTCATAAATGGTTCCACCCTTTAGACCCAGACACAACACCAGAACGTCTGTCGTAGCTAAGTAATAAATCTTTGTCGGTCATTTATTTGTTGGCAAACAAGTTACACTGTTACAACAAATATTAGTTAATTCACCGTGGAAACCATTACAAAACGGAATAAATAAGAAGCCAATAACAAACCAGATCTGTGCCGCTTAACGTAGGTCCATCTTCTTTTTATTTCGACAAATAAATAAATATATTTTCTCCACGAGGAAGAAGAACAAAAACACTTCCAGTTTGTCTCACTCCAAAAGTTCTTTCTTTAATAAGTAAACCATCCATATTTCTTTTTTGTACAAGTGCCTGGTGCTCATCATTTTGTTTCTGTCTGAGTGTTTTTCTGCAGGACACTGTCTTTAACTCTGCCATCATCTGATATCTACAGTAAGAAAGGAAAAGAAAGAAACAGAAACCCGAAACAAGGATGAATATGTCGCACGGTGATGCCTGCACAATAAGTGTTTTGTTATGATGTTATTTTGCTTCTATTTAGTCGTTTCTCGCAGAGGGATAAAAGAGGAAAACAAAAACAGACTGGTACCAGAAACCCAGAGAACAGAACCGCTCCTAATCACTACATTTACAGAGACAAAGGTTTGCTCGGAACAAAAAAAGCATACTATTGTGTGCAATGCTAGTTATCTGTACAATTACATAGAAATATCTCATAATTCTCTCATTAGTTTTTTTCTCCCTCCGTTTATTACAGTAAAATGAAAGAAAACAGCTTCAAAGCATACGATCAATAATTTCTTCGTAGTTATTGTTCCATTTTTTTTGTCTTTTTTTTCGTTGAAGGGACACTCCAGCAAACAAAATGTGCTGCAACTCACCAAAGAGGAAGAAAATCTTTCAAAAAGTCAATATGGATACAGAAGTATAATAAAATAGTCCTTTTTTTAAATTCCCGTTCTGACTGGATGTTCGGGGAGGGGGGGTTTCAGTCATGCTGTATCTCTAAACATCCCGTGTGAGTGAGTCTCTGCACACTGAGACACAACACGAGGGGGGGGGGGGGGCACAACATCAACAGATTCCCGCAAAGTTTAACCCCCGTGTTGAGCATTATTATCCTGTCCGTGGTCAGTCTTAGCAGGAGTTATCTGCAGGGGGGGGGTCACAGAATAAAAGAAAGGCTACCACTGCCAACAACAGGTGGAGGAGGAGGAGGAGGAGGGGGCTGCGTAAAGACGAGCGGGAGGGACCTATAGGCTGGTGACGAGGTGCGAGGCCTCCGGTTGGGCCTCCTCTGGAGTCAGATCCTCTTTGTTGGGGGGCACGATGAAGCCGTCGCTACTGCCCCTCCCCAGCTGGTAGTAGGAGCTCAGCTGGTGCAGGTGGTTCCTGGAGCCCAGGTTGGGCATGCTCTTGTAGTAAACGTCGTCCGAGCCGGCCTCCGGGCTCTTGGCGCCCCCCCCCTCGGCTGAGTCTGAGGACACGTGGGGCAGGCCGGGCAGCAGGGGCATGCTGGTGTACAGGGAGTCTCTCTGGGGGGTGTGGGTGGGGGGGGGGGGAGCCCTCCTCCTCCGTGTGCTCGTTGGTGAGTAACGGGAAGAAGCTCTCGCTGTTCTCCTGCGGGATCCTCCGCCGGGATGAGGAGGACGAGGAGGTGTTGGCGGAGGAGAAGGGGTGGTGGGGCAGCGGGAGGGGGGGTGGCGCCGACTGGTGGAGGTGGTTGTTAAGTTGGTCCAGAGATGGGGGGGGGTCTCTGAGGCAGCAGCGGGGCGTTGGACTCCTCTCGGATCAGCTCCAGACCCAGGCCCTCGTCGTGGTGCGGCCCGAAGGTGGAGTGGTCATCCAGGCTCAGCCCCATCCCCATCATCCCCCCCACCCCCAGACCCATGCCGTAGCCCCCGTCTTTGCCCCCGTTGCTCACGTTGTTGACCAGTTTGTTCATGAGGTTGCGGTTGTGCTCGGCGTTGTTGAGGTAGGAGGGGATGTAGTTGGACGTGAGCTCTTTGAGGATCTTCTGCTCCAGGGTGGTCTCCTTGTGGTTGTACCCCCGCTCCAGGATCTGTACGCAATCGCTCATGTACTCGGCACTGGCGATGCTGTAACTGTTGCCGTGGTTACCATTCAGTGGTAGAGTATCCATGACACTTGAATCCCGGGCATTGTTCAGGATTCCCTCTGAAACGACAAACACCCATCAGCGCTTTTATTCTGAAAAACCTCATCACAAACACACATTGTGTACATTTAAAGATGTTTTCTGCAAATATAAACACTTACCTTGTTGCAAACATAACATTCTCCACTTCACTTTTTTTTGATTTAACAGTAGCAGAGATGAAAACACCGACACACAACACCACGAAGCACAACACACTGAACACAAGCAAGCAGACTGAGCCATGCATTAACACTCAACAGCAGTTTGAGCCCATAGTGTCCCATAGAGCATTGCAAACATTGTACAACTGGGAATACAAATAATGTATTCATCTCTGCATAACTATCCGTCTTTCTCTCGACATGAAAACATTTCAGAAGGAGGACTTCTCTCTGTTGCATGAACATGAATCATATTTGATGAGTTCGGCGGAAGCTGTGCAATCAGCATCAAAGCAACACTTTGACGATGATTCATCGGACAAGCAGCTCGTTAAAAAAAGTCAAGTCCAAAGTTTGACCTGCTGAAACTGTGATAAGACTCGTTCATCAAAGTGAAATACAAATCATATAAGTGCTATAAGATTCAGAGAAAGAATACAAATCAATTGATATCGATGTGCCTTGGGACATTTTGCCTCCGATTGGATTATCAATGGTGGCCCAGAGCAAATAAACTAAAACATTTCCATTAGGTGAAACGCGCTTTAGAAAACATGCGCTGTCATGTTGGTGCCGATGTGTCTTCATTCGCATGTGTTTTGGCACATTAGTGTTTCTACATGTGCATGGCTTTTGAAGCTGCATTGTTTCTCCTAATGGAAGTGGTGTTCAGCCACAGTTACTTTCATGTCCAGAGTGCTACAGCCACAAAGAAGTCAAGCAGTGATTTGAAGTGATTTCTACAGGTCTATTTTAACATACAAATATTGCTTTTACTTCCAAAGGGAATGACATGTTGTGTTTTCATTGTCAGCATGGAGTGAAAATATAGTAAAGCCAAAGTGAATTACATTTGATAAGCAATGTTTAGTTTGACTCCCATACTTGTCTCTCTGTAGGGCTCTTTAAGGGACAGCATGAGGAAGGAGAGAAGAAAAGAAAAAACACGATAAGCAAAACAGTGACAAGAGAGAAACATGTGCACATACAGTACACTGATGACGCATTGGTTAATGCACCATGCAGACATTTCTATTAACACATGTAGAAGACGTTTCTGCAGGATCCTCAGGGTAAAACACGGCGAGCATCAAATGCAGCAGTAAATATTTTCATGCATTTGCATTTTCCTCCTTTCGGATATTTCTTTCACATGTATTGCAATGTAAGTGAATTATAGCCCGCTGTCAGGAGCTCCCATGCAGGACTTGTATTGCATACATAAATTATCCCCTGATCAAAGCTCTATGCGAGTTTTATCTCCGTTTTGACACGAGTTTCTCAGTTTTACACACTCACAAAGTTACAGCGAGACTGCAGAGAGCACACAGAGGAAGCTTTTGATCACGATAGTAAACTAGTTTCCTTTGTGCTGATGTGGATATTTGTAGAAAGTGTTAAAATCCTCAATGAATAGTTCAATCACGTGGAGTTAAAATGACCACAGTTGAATTAGCACTCAAAGTATCGATTACGCAAAAAACTACTATTATATGGCTTAAAATGAGGAATAATAGCAGACTTTTCTAGTTATTGCAATATCATTTAAAGTTTAAACATCAGATCTGACTACATTCATCACAGACAACAGTGTTAGACAATTCCAAAGGAAACAGAGACAGAGGACATGGAGACAAGCTGACAACATTAGAGCACATTTAAAATAAATGAGAGGGGATGTATCCGGCTCCCTGCAGGAGAACATTCTTCATCTTTTTTTGGACTTTTTTCACAATGTCAGTGTGACTGTTGTAACTGAATATTAAGCCAGAAGCCAGGACACATCCCCTGAAGAAAAGCCCAGAGCAGAACAAACCGGCTGCGGATCTTTGAGACAAAGTTTGTTCAATGCTAACACACAACATCTAGAGCAGTGTTTTCTTTATATCAAAGCCCTGTAAAAACCCTCAAAGGGTGAACGCTGGCATTTCAGCTTAGTGAAGTCCATTACTTTTAACTCTGCAATCATAAAGTTTCCCTCACAGGTTCTGCAGGACCAGACATGAAAAAAAAACACTGCCCCAGCACAATGTTAGAGAATGAAAAGAAGCTAGCACACCTTGTGTGTTGTACATGCCCAGAGGGTTGTTATAGACTGCCGATTCCCCAAGCAATGTGTTATAGGGATTGTTAGTGCCATGAGGACGGAGGAGTGCATTAGGTATAAGATGGTTAGCCCCTGCAGCAGCCAGAGACAGAGAGAGGTGCAGAGGGACAGAGAACATACATATCAGCTGAGCAATGAACCGCCATTAACATCAAAATGATCACATGATCATTAATGCTACATGAGAGAGGCTAATAGGAAACAGTGGTAATCATATCGTTAATGCCTGCCATTAGTTGGAAGCCTGTTCTCCTGCTCACATAAAAGGCAGGAAATTCGAACATAAATTACATAAAAGCATCGACATGGCCAACAGGACACATGTCGTTTTATATTTCTACTCTCAAACGGGACACACACAATCAGCACCAGGACACTGTTGGCTCTTTGACACTAAAGTAATACAAAAATAAATCTCCCCGAGCACATGTTACAATGTTTAGCACTGTAAACTAAGATACATTTGCGTTTCATGCAAACATATATCCAAAGAAAGTATTAAAGTGTGTGTTTGTCAGCTCTTATGTATCACATAGGACACCCAATCAGCACCAGGACATTGTTGGCTCTTTGACACTAAAGTAATACAAAAATAAATCTCCCTGAGCACATGATGCAATATCACTGAAGCTTAATCTATACATCACATATTACATTTGAGATAATCTTACATATACAGTTGATGTCCAAGTGCAAATATATTGTTTGAAATATAAAGGTATGTCTGTACGCTGCTACAACATTAGCTTGATATGCTATAGAAAGCTATAGTTGTCTTGTTAACATGATAACATACCCTGTAGCCACCTCAAAATGAACTCTTAACTGGAAGCATAACCCACTGTTAAAATAATAGTGTTTCTAAATCTTCCTTCAATATCGCTGTAAGCCGCATGTGAGCCCAGAAAGCTTGATAGTGCACAACTTGCTCTGTTAGTTTCGATCTCATGAACATAAGTGGGAAATATGTATTTTCCTCCACAGAGCTGAGTTCATGTTAAGATTGTGTTTTCGCAGAAATAACCCCCGTATGAAGTGTTGTTGCTGCCTGGCCTCATTCTCTATGAATGCCAGGCCTGCGCTCGATGACTCATCAGTTTCCTGCGCACAGAAACAGCCTTCCCAGCCGGAGCCTGGGATGAGCTGCAGATTTAATCTGCAACATGAACGCCGCACATTCCCTGGTGTTTGTTTTCCTCTGCTGTTGATACAAATAATTTATTTATTTATTATAGGGTTTGAATACATTAAGCTGAATATCAAGTATGCTGAAAATATTTGCGGCTTCGCATTAGTTTCCTGTTTACAAGATCTACTTTCCCTCCTGTCAACATGTTGTGATGCCTTTATTATTAAAGCTGCACATGCAAGAAGTTACACGCATGTGCTTCCTTAGCAGAGCGGGAAAACATCTATTATCAATGAAATCTTCTTTTATTTCACACTGCTGAATTTGTTTAACCAATAGTTATATTTTGAACCTCCGTTTTCTCTTTCTTTAGGTTTCTTTTGGCAAACTCCCTGTTCATTCCGGCTCATCTTTCAGGATTAAATGAATGTTATGTTTAACTTTAGTATAAATCAGGCGTAGTATTATTTGCCTGTGAATCAGAATGTTTTTCTGATTTTAAAAACACTCATTTGTTGTCGCTTCTTGTCCTAATTACAGTGTTTCACACACAGCGGCTCCTCTTAAATTCCGCCAATGACAGATCTAACACTTATTGTTTTGATAAATTGGACCATTTGCAAAAAAAGCAATGAGTGTTTGCAGCGATAATCCCCAATGCTGGGAGGAATTGAACATGTAACGCCATCAGGATGATTAGATGAGTCCGCTCTCGAGAGAAACGCGAACAATCAGAGGACAGCAGCCATGGATAAGTGCTACTTTATCTGCATTTTATGATATTTAACCATTTCTAGCTCCACCTCAATTTATTGAAGCTTTTTTGCACTTTTTTCTCCAGTCTTCCCACCTCAGTGCAGCCTCTGTAGCTGGATGGAGGCTGTGCCTGGAGATGGTGCTAAGCTGAGTGCCTAATTATTGAGATCCTGACACTTCCTCCCCGTGTCGGGCATTAATCCATCATTGTAACTGTGCATTAGTGTCGACGCAGGCCGGAGCCCGGAGCGAGTTGAGTGTGGAAGAGGAGCAGCGAGAGGAGTGCTGGGATGGATGGCAGCCAGGGCGCAGTTTGCCTCTCCGTGTCAGATGAAGTCTGCAATCTATTTTTCTGTAAAAACCTGAGAGACTCCTCGGATAACTCTCTTCACTGCACTCTGTCAAATGCATTACGGGAAAAACACTTTTATTATCGTGCGTCTGAGAGGGGTTTCCACTGAATTCCTTTTCAGGTTGTTATACTGCACCTGCTCTGAGAGAAAGCCTCGTTTCACTTCCAAAAAAACATATTAGGAGGTATTAAAATGCCCCTAAGCTAGAATACTCATAAACAATGCGATTACATTTACTTCATTGTTCAGATGTAATGAAACCCTTCCTGCAGTGTCCTTCAAATTACTCTATGGCAGAAAGGATTTGCTTCAAAATAAAAACGGTTTTCTGCAGCAGCATGACAGCACTTTCAATCTATGCCTCATATTCACAATCTAGTTCTCTTTCAAAAACTGTCAACAAACGCAACCAGACAAAAGAAAGGAGATTTGATCTAAAGCTGTCGTTTCTTATTGAAGAGGACGTGACTGCAATTTTAGGAAAATGGTGACGCTTTTGTGTAAAACGGCATTGTGCATTAGTCATGAAGTCTAAGAATTGAGGAGTTATTTGTGTGGATATTTTTCAGCGGGATCGGGTACCTCTGTTGAGAGAAGCAGAGCTGTTGATGTCTCCGGTCATGAAGGAGGACTCAGACTGTTTTCTGACTGTGTCGTTCCACATCCGACGGATCCGGCTCTGCAGACACAAACAACAACACGTCAGAAAGATGCACCCTGAACACAGTCAGTGAAAAGTCAAAGTGTGACTGTGGAGGAGAACTTTATTTAAATGAAAATCAACCAAATAAACAACATAGTTATATCTTTTTTGAATGCTATCGCTATCATATCACATCGAATTGTGAGTTATTGATTTTCGTTTGAGCATGAGAAAGTTATTTTTGAACATACAACGTATTGGTATGTCCAGGTTTGGTAAAGAGCAGCTGGTGCAACCCACTCCAGGTTTAAAAATACTGATGAGTGACGACCTTTGAGATGTTCCGCTCTCTCCTCCGACAGGGTTCAACTTAATGAAGTCACGGCAGCCATCATTAACTACATTTAGAGCAACTGTCATGACACCTCTTCCAGGAATACTTCATTTGAGAGCGACATTCAGACTTTTTTTTTAATCATGATAACTTCATGGTGTCATGAATGATGAGGTGTATTTTATAACAGGAACATGGAGTGACAACACAAGTACTTTGTGTTGTGCTGTTATCATCATGTTGTCCCCAGCACAACACACACACTTCTTTATGTTTTCGGAATAAGAACTCATACAGCCAGCAGCTCCAATGTGCTCTGCTGATTACACATTCATTCAGAGTAAGCCATAAACAAGCTCGTCTTTCTCTCTGAATGTTTCCATTCCTGTCTGAGCGTGAGGTTGGAGCCATCTTGTCAGAGTCTAATTAAACGCTCTGATCTGTGTGCAGCAAGCATCTTGTATCGTGGGCTGCTGCATGCTGCCCACAGAGGTCTATGTATACGTGAACACTGGAAGGAAAACAGAATATGTAGAACATGGATACGATGTGCAACGACAACGATCCATGGTAATCATGCTTCATGTCGATGTGGGAGGAATACATTTGCTTTGTGAGGAGACAGATTTACAGATTTTGGAGGAGGAATTCAAATATGCGTGGAGACAATGTTTCAGTCAGCGTTATGCTGCAGCAGAGGAGACTCACTTCATGTATGTTCAGCTCATCATGCACTAATAATATTTCCCTGCTTTCGAACGAGGACACGTGCAGCACGTCCTTGCAATCCATCATACATAAAGTCACCTTTAAAATCTGCTCTCATTAGTTCTGTGTGGAGGAGCACATCTGTGTCATGTCACACATTATTTAGCACAAAGACAAAATGACTGGTAGTCCAAAACCAACGAGAGCTCATTTGTCCCGCTGAGGAAGATACTGTGAAGACATCTTAAAAGTGGAGGCACCTGTGAGCCTGTAGAGTAACGTCCCGGGACCCGAGAAGCCGTTCCCTTCACGGAGCCAATGGAGCTGTCCACACTTTTCCCGCTGCAGCAGTGAGTGCGCAGACATTTCCCATACTCCTTACGCACCTGAAGGAGACAAAGCCAGGTAACATTAGACCACAGGTGGTGCAGACGGAGAGGCAACAGAAAATATATGCAAACATAAAGAAAAAGGAAAGACTGTGGCTTTCAATCAGAAATCTAAATGTAGACATAATGTATCACAAAGGTCAAGTATTGACACAGTTAGACCTTTTCCAATTCACTTTAATGTTTCAATCAGGTTGCAGGATTCTCTGAAAAAAGTCCCTCTATTTGAGATAGTTAATGGATATTTCTCTAGACCAGGGTCACCAACCTTTTTTAGGATGAGGGCTACTTTCAAAAAATAAAACAAGTCGGGGGCTACTTTTACTCCTCTTTTTTTGTTTTTTGCAGTGTATATATTTAGCACATTTTAACATTATTATATGCTGACCTTTAACCTTTGTATGCTGTTTGGGTCTGTGGGACCTGTTTGCAGTGTTTACTAAAATAACATGCAATTTAATTATTTTAACCTGCTTTATTTTGGGGTGGGCGGGTCTCACCTCCTCTAGGGGGGGCCTCACATCCTCCAGGGGGGACCTCACCTCCTCTAAGTGAAATGCATCAATCTGGTGCACTTTGAGCACAACATGAATTTATGGATACAGCTCTCAACACTCAGATGAAAGGGAGCTGTATACTTTTCAATAATCCAAACATCTTTAGAATATGATCACAACCAATAATAAATCATTTAAACTTGTTTATTCTTATCTTGTGTTACCACATTCTTTCTTTTTATTTATGCATATTTTACTAATCACTCCCCTTTTAAACTGTTTTTGTACTGACTATAGAACACATTGGAATGATTTCTTACTTTATCTATATTAAATAGATAAAGGGGTGCACACACACACACACACACACACACACACACACACACACACACACACACACACACACACACACACACACACACACACACACACACACACACACACACACACACACACACACACACACACACACACACACACACACACACACACACACACACACACACACACACACACACACACACACACACACACACACACACACACACACACACACACTGTGTGCTCCTCCGTGGCGATGACGGCTTGCGTTAACAAATAATAATAAACATATTTGTAAAGTGGGGGGACACAAACGGGATTTCGAAAAGTGCTGGGGACATGTCCCCACTGGAGATTACGTGTGCGTCAAGTGCAATAAATAAATATGCAAGTTACAACACACAGAGTCAAACTCTGCCCCTCATGTGCTGTATAGGCTGGCATGATGGGCTGTTCAATGGGGCTGATGTGTTGTGTAGATTCTGCCAGAAGGAAAATCAGCGGGGAGGTGCCACATTGCTTTTCTTCCCGACTGCAACGCTGGTCCATGGATGTATAATAAGAACGCGCTGGTCCCGCAAATCAAGCAAGAACGTGATTGGTCGATATTCATTGTGGGGGTGGGGGGAGGAGGGTGTTAGATATAGAGTTGTAGTAAGTAGATAGAGTTTGCTATGATTTATGTGTCGTTTATGCATGTGGTAGATTCTTTTAATTACATCTCCTTTTTTGTTTTGTTTATTTTATACATTTTGGATTTTCTTGGCGAGCTATTTTTAGAACGTGCCCGGCGGGCGCCTCACGTTGCCCCTGCGGGCGACTGAGTGCCCGCGGGCACCGTGTTGGCTACCCCTGCTCTAGACGAAGAACATTTCTTTATTCTTTTAGCCTCAACCTCAGATTATGTGAGGACAGAGAGATGATCTTTGTGCCCATCATTTTCGTTACCTGACTCAACGAGACGTTAAAGGGACCATTTTCTCAGGGTGATATTATCATTGTACACATGCTTTAATGTAATGCCCAGAGCCTAGTCTGCTCTGATTGGTTAGCTGGCCGGCTCTCTTGTGTTTGGGCAACCTCTAAGCCAGGGGTGCCCAACCTTTTTTTAACCGAGAGCTACTTTTAAAGTTGCCAGTCTGCCGAGATCTACCAGTCCAAATAAAGAGGCGTAGTTACTGACAGCCTACTACCAGGTAAATACACACTTCTACTTGTATAAAACTGACCTTTGTACGATTAATACTTCATAAAATACTGCAGATCCTTTATCTTACCTCTTTCTAATCTAAACACATACAAGTATTTAACTGAAGTTACACAACAGTGTGGTTGATACAGAGTTGGAGTTTATTCACACGTCACTACAGTGGGTAATGTTTAAGAAACATTGAACAGTGCTGCCACATATGACACAGGGAAAAAATAAAATACTCTGAACCCTTTCTTTGCCATTATATAAAAACAGTGTTGCTTCAAAAGTATAAATTAGGCTTACTAATAAGACAACTCAGATCTGAAGCTACACAGGAATCTGCTGCCAAAGTGCAATAAAAAAGACAAAATTAATAGAATCAAATTCTTTTTTTGTTGCATTTTAGTAGAGTATAAAAATAAATGCCTTTTAAAATAGGATGCAAGCAACATTAGTTTCTTAACCTGAATTGATGACTATAATAAATTTAAACAGAACAGATCTTAATGTTTGCATTCTTATACCATTGTGTACAATAATTGTAATGAATAAGTTGAAACAAACAAAAACTTACAGCTGATTAATAACGGTATCTAACTTGAGTTTTTATTATATCAAAAACCTGTTGAAATGCTACTGTTATTTTTACTGTCCCCTAAAGCGCATCGGCAGCCTCCAGGAATGCTTCTTTCACAACTTCGCCGTCTTTGAAAGACTTCATGTGTTTCGCAAGAACGTGCCTGCCACGATAAGATGCTATGGTAGCAGCCTTGCTCTTGTTGTTGGGCCTGGTGAAAATGGACTGCTGTGCATTTAGCTGTGCTTTCAGGCCCCTCCCCTTTTGGGAGCGTTGGGCAGAATTAGGAGGGAATTCCGTCTCGTAGCGTTTGTGCACTGTTTTGAAATGCCGCTCCTAAATTACCCTTCTTCGATAAAGCCACGCTCGCATTGCAGATGAGACAGATGGACTTTGAATTGGAATAAATACAAAAATAATCATCCTCCCACTCGGAGTTAAAATTATATATGTTTTGCTTTTTTGCTTCTGCCATAATTGCGGTCTTGTGTGTGTGCGGACTGGCACTCCTGTTGACACGGACAACGTCAGCGAAATAGTGCCCACTGCTCACCAGCCACGCCCCGACACATGGAGTCACGCCGGCCAATCACAAAGCTTTGATGCGTTCAAGTGCATTATTCTGGCACGGGAAGATTATGTTACAGGACATTAACGATAAAACAGAATGTTGTTGTTCTATTTTTAGACACATCTCGCGATCGACTGGGAATCTCCCCGCGATCGACCGGTCGATCGCGATCGACTGGTTGGGCACCCCTGCTCTAAGCGATGTCCCGTCCCTTATGTGTTGAAGCACCTGCGAATAGAAGCGCGAGTGTTCGGTAGTGATGTCATTATGTTGCGTAAGTCAACAAAGGAGAGCAATGGTGGGAAAAAACAAACAAATAAATGACCCCAGAAGTTTGCAACCCCAAACATTGTAAGTAAGGGTAGTTTTACAGGGAGAAATATGTACTTTATGTCATTTGTATAACATTTTTACCAAAGTAGTATGTTTTCTGAAACAAATGATACATGCAGAAATGTCTGAAGCCTTACCTTCTTCTGCAGCACGCAGTGGAAGATGAAGATGAACATGCCCTGCAGGGAGTTGAAGATGGTGAACAGGTAGGCCATGACCACGGTGCTCTCGTTGACGTACATCAGGCCGAACGCCCAGGTGAGGCCCAGCAGGCAGAGCAGGGCGATGGCTCCGATCACCCAGGACCTGCAACACACACCAACACACACCTCAGTACACATCCACAGAGTGTAACATGCTTTAAACCTGGCTTACAAGAAGCAGAGCACAGTGTACCACATTGTGTGAGAATAAATGAAGGTTAAAACACAACTTATGTTCAGGGAGTCATTTGATCCAAAGTTAGCAAGGTTTTTTATTTTTTTGATAGGGAGGCAAACAGATGAGGAGGGATCATAAAGTGATGACAATGAATTCAATCGTTTTTTTCTGATTCTGTCCACGTCTCCGCTACCTTTTCCTTTTCATTTAATGGCTCTCTTCCAAGCCATGCTGTTGAGTATTTAAAAAGCCAGAGATGGTCATAAAATGGCAGATTCATATATGCGATAATGGAGGCCTGTCAGAACGGGAGGCTAACAAAGATGGCATTTTCATTCGAAGACTATTTACATGAGTACATTCCATGTTGGGTTCTATTACCTGAGTGTCTTGTAAACTGAGATGAATGGGAACAAAGTCAATAGGAATAAAAGGCTCCATCTTCATGTAGAGAAGTGGCACCTGGTCTTCTTCTGTGGTGTTTTGGTGCCTTGAATTAAGCTTAATATCATGTGCGACAACATGCTTGTATGAAGGATTTCCCTTTACAGCCGTTATGTTTTCAATCTGCAGCGCCATATCTACACTTAAATAAATATTTCAGCACTAATTTAAAACTAATCCTGCATGTCACCTCTGAGGAAATGTATATGTAAGAAAGGGGAACCGTGTGCACACTAATGCGGGCTTCAACACGCAATAAATCACGTTAATGACTCACATAGGCACCTGTATGGATTTGTTAACATGGAGGAGTGATTGAAATATGGCATTATGGGAAATGAGGCCTTCAAATTTTGTCTTACTTGATCTCAGGTTCATAATCCTGATAGCTGAGCGATGTGGCGACATAACAAAAAGAAAACAGAAATAAATCAAATCACATGACAAGGAAATGGAGATACAAAAATTGTTCAGATATTAAAGAGGGAAACAACACATAAAGAGGATTAAAGCTGTATCCACACGTCAGACAGGTTGCCGGTGATTTTCAGGTGATAACCGTAATTGTCCTGCTTCTGTGAAGAACGCAGCTCGCCTCATAAATGCTGGCAGACCTTCGCATTTAAGCCGTTATAAATGGGCCAGGTGTGCGGCAAAATAAATGATTTATGAATTCACCAGGGCAACCATTAAACATAATTTTCCCAGGGCTGTCTTAATGACCTGGAGGGAGAGGTACTTTATCAAGCGGCTGCCCGCAGAACGGACACAGAAACACAAGCAGTGTGCACAAAGAGAGCCAAATACCGTCCTCTCACCGGCAAACGTTTGGCTGCAGGAGTGTTTTATGATGGAGACACGGGAGGTCACGAGGAATGCATCACAGAGGACAGGATATGAAGAGGCTACAATTCATATCTCCTCCTGGAGTTATCAGATAAAACATGGGGATGAGTTTGAGAGCTGCACAGAAGGAGCCTTGAGGCAAAAAGGCAGAACAGCTCACTTACAAAAGAAGACTGTGCTTTTTAGTTTTGCAGCTTTTCCACCCTTTAAATCTAACAGAACAGGACTTTTAAACTCTTGTTCTGCCATCATTAGGCTTGAACATGTTTGTTAAGTGCAGTTTATGGCAGGGGGAATCTAATTATTTAGGGATATTTCTAATTCAATGTGCATTTCAGTCACATTTTGAATAAAGCATTCACGCAATCGGCTCAGGGAAACATTTGAATGCTAGTGCAATATAAATCTTCTATCCATCTGTGCAGCAGATAAGATTTATTGTGCTGTTTAGAGAAAAACGGAAAGAAATTTACAATTATGTTGTAAAATTGTATAATGTGTTTTAATGTATTTATTCCTAAAAAGTCTTTTAATTTGTTTTGTAAAGCACTTTGAATTGTCGCGTACAGAAAAGTGCTATAAAATAAACTTGCCTTCAATTATAGGCAGAGAGCTACATCAGACTGTGGCATCGAATTACCAGCATTTCTCCCTCAAAATGACTTCCTTTAGCATTCACTGCAATGTCACAGATCATTTATGTATGAGATTGGAATTGGTCATTTAAACCTGCTTCAAATGTGCATAAAGCCTTTTTATAGGAAATGCTGTGATCACCCCGACGGGAGGTTAATTATTGAACCAAAGGTATGCTAAAAATGTGAATTAGCTCAAAGACATCAAGATGTTTCAGATGTTGGCATCAGTGTTTTGTGTCTTTGAAATCATCTCGTTTGAAGACTTTTATCTGCACAGAGAGGAAGCTATGCAAAGTCCCCCATTTGAGGTCATTATGCTCTGAATATGATGCATTTAGAAGTTCGTTTTTTAAAGCTACAGTAGCGCAGGAGTCATATTTTAATCCATGAATCACAGGGCGGCTGCATTACAAGGAGAGGAGGGAAAAACACATCAAACACAATATCAAATCTACTCTACATCCTGTGAAATCTTACCAGTGCCACTCTACAATAACACATCCATCATAATAACGGTAGCTAAAACGAAAAGGAAAAGAAAAAAAATGCATGGATAGAAAACAGAAAGATGTTAGAGATAAACACAGCCAAATCAAAAGAAGAAGGGAGGGAGAAACAGATAAAAAACATTCATATTAACAGAAAGCAGCATGATGAAATCTCAGGAGAAACCGTGACATCAAACCATAAGGAGGAATAAGTCGGTGCAAAGAGAAGACAAAAGAGGACGCAGCTCATTAACACGTACTATCATCACATCTTGATAACTCAGTAAGTGGAAAGAAATAATGGATCTGAGAGACTACTGCACATTACTGGCTGTGAAGACTTATTACTTCCTGTTTGTGTTTATCACTTCCTGTTTTTAAGCTTTGTGCAGGCGCGTGTTGAGAAAGGTTTCAGTGTGTCAGGCGAATGAGAGGCTGACAGAAGCAGCACACCATTTATATTTTTCCAACGGTCATCTGAAAAGCTGCAGATTGCTTCGAGGTCGGTAAGACTCGGAGGTCAGAAGGTCAGCTGTGTGATGCATTATGGGAGACCGCTGTAATAAATCAAACCACGCTGCGAACTCCAGCAGTCAATCTTTTTCCGCAGAACAAAGTATGCAATGTATCTTGTGAGTAAGACACAGAAATGGAGCAGGACAATGTTAGGTAGAGGGGTTTTGGATCAAAGTGCTCCGCTAAGCTACAGTGGGGCAAAAAAGTATTTAGTCAGCCACCAATTGTGCAAGTTCTCCCACTTAAAAAGATGAGAGAGGCCTGTAATTTTCATCCTAGGTATTCCTCAACTATGAGACAGAATGAGAAAAAAAAATCCATAAAATCACATTGTCTGATTTTTAAAGAATTTATTTGCACATTATGGTGGAAAATAAGTATTTGGTCAATAACAAAAGTTCATCTCAATACTTTGTTATATACCCTTTGTTGGCAATGACAGAGGTCAAACGTTTTCTGTAAGTCTTCACAAGGTTTTCACACACTGTTGCTGGTATTTTGGCCCATTCCTCCATGCAGATCTCCTCTAGAGCAGTGATGTTTTGGGGCTGTTGCTGGGCAACACGGACTTTCAACTCCCTCCAAAGATTTTCTATGGGGTTGAGATCTAGAGACTGGCTAGGCCACTCCAGGACCTTGAAATGCTTCTTACGAAGCCACTCCTTCGTTGCCCGGGCGGTGTGTTTGGGATCATTGTCATGCTGAAAGATCCAGCCACGTTTCATCTTCAATGCCCTTGCTGATGGAAGGAGGTTGTCACTCAAAATCTCACGATACATGGCCCCATTCATTCTTTCCTTTACACGGATCAGTCGTCCTGGTCCCTTTGCATAAAAACAGCCCCAAAGCATGATGTTTCCACCCCCATGTTTCACAGTATGGTGTTCTTTGGATGCAACTCAGCATTCTTTCTCCTCCAAACACGTCTAGTTGAGTTTTTACCAAAAAGTTCTATTTTGGTTTCATCTGACCATATGACATTCTCCCAATCCTCTTCTGGATCATCTAAATCAGGGGTGGGGAACCTTTTTCCTCTCAAGGGCCATTTCAATGTTTTCAACATCCTCCGAGGGCCGTACAAATGATTGACCTCTGCTTCAAAAAACTAAAATCACAGCCCATTCATTCGGCCTTTCTTTCATGCTGTGCAAAGAAAAAGCAACCTCTTAATCCAGATATCTTGCCATGACTCACGCATGCATGCACATGCACGTGCACGGTTGTGGCATGACCACCCAAACAGAAAGATATGGACACAAGATGTGTGCAAATGTATTTAGTTTCCTATCCATGTGAACATGATTTAAGTGGGGTGGACCTAACCTCCTCTAGGTGGGTCTGGGGGGGATGCCCCCCGGGAAGATTTGTTTTTAAATGTTGAAGTTAAAAGCATCAATCTGGTGCACTTTGAGAGCAACATGAGGAGATCGATGGATACATCTCTCAACACCCAGATGAAACTGAACTGGAAGCAGATTTATTTTTCTTTATGAATATTTGACAAATCACTCTCCTTTCAAACTGTATTCTTGTTTATTAATAACAACTTTTTTTACTGTCATATAGTATTTTATACCTGTTTACTTTATTCTCTTATTTTTTTATAACTATAATGATCATATAAAGATGTGCCTTTACCTCACTGGTTGGAGAAAAAGCTTCTTATATTCGTTAGCATAGCTAGCTAACCAGATGCTAATAACAACGAAGTTATTGACTGTATGATCAGTATGACAGATGAACAGATCGCCACTGGGCTTTCAACTAAAGACACAGCCACGCAAAAACTGCAGCATGTGTACGGCTCCTTATGGGTACTGCAATTTTTGGAAGTGCCGAAGCGGAGCTGCGTTCTGGTGCTCCCCGTCAGAACTACACCCCTGTCAGAGATACCACGTGATGACATGTTAGGCTTGTGTTGTGTTCAAGGACCCTGACCTTGGCCAGGAAAAACAGGCACTCACTTGTTTAATTATTTTGCGGTCTAGATTTCTTTAATTTTTTTCTTTTTTGCGTGTGTTTATAAATTACCTCGAGGGCCACACCAAATGGTCTCGCGGGCCGTATACGGCCCGGGGGCCGGAGGTTCCCCACCCCTGATCTAAATGCTCTCTAGCAAACTTCAGACGGGCCTGGACATGTTCTGGCTTAAGCAGGGGGACACGTCTGGCACTGCAGGATTTGAGTCCCTGGCGGCGTAGTGTGTTACTGATGGTAGCCTTTGTTACTTTGGTCCCAGCTCTCTGCAGGTCATTGACTCGGTCCCCCCGTGTGGTTCTGGGATTTTTGCTCACCGTTCTTGTGATCATTTTGACCCCACGGGGTGAGATCTTGCGTGGAGCCCCAGATCGAGGGAGATTATCAGTGGTCTTGTATGTCTTCCATTTTCTAATAATTGCTCCCACAGTTGATTTCTTCACACCAAGCTGCTTACCTATTGCAGATTCAGTCTTCCCAGCCTGGTGCAGGTCTACAATTTTGTTTCTGGTGTCCTTTGACAGCTCTTTGGTCTTGGCCATAGTAGAGTTTGGAGTGTGACTGTTTGAGGTTGTGGACGGGTGTCTTTTATACTGATAACAAGTTCAAACAGGTGCCATTAATACAGTTAACGAGTGGAGGACAGAGGAGGCTCTTAAAGAAGAAGTTACAGGTCTGTGAGAGCCAGAAATGTTGTTTGTTTGTAGGTGACCAAATACTTATTTTACCGAGGAATTTACCAATTCATTCATTAAAAATCCTACAATGTGATTTCCTGGATTCTTTCCCCCCATTCTGTCTCTCATAGTTGAAGTGTACCTAGGATGAACATTACAGGCCTCTCTCATCTTTTTAAGTGGGAGAACTGGCACAATTGGTGGCTGACTAAATACTTTTTTGCCCCACTGTATATGTAGGCACACCAAACCTTTTCTGTGTTTTTGCCTCCGTTTAAACCTTTGACATATCATTCCAGTTTACATCAGCATTCACCTTTATCAGAAACAAGTCTTTGTCTTAGAGATTGTGTTATATTGGAGACAATATCTTTGTAGTTTACATCACTATTCAAAGCCTTTTTATCCTATTCAATGTTTTTCAATGTAAGAAATACACTTTGTGGTGCAGCCATGTTTACCTTTGCTATGGAAGTTAGGTTTTTTGTTTCAGCAGGACTACAGAAATAATACTGGCCCTATTATCAAGAAACTTGTTGTGAAGGTGTAGCATGAGCCATTTGGGAGTAAATGCGCATTACGTGGCGCAGTATGTTTCTCTTATGGTAAAGGTGGCGGTCTCCACTCTCCAAATGTGCAATTCCAGTTCATTAAGTGATGCATAAATCCCCTTAGTTAAAGCTTTTATTGTAATAACTGTAACTAAGTAACTGGCTGATGCAAAAAGCCTTTACATGTCATATTAAAGGGACGGTGATGTCAGTTTAATCAGAAGCAGCACTTAAAGAACACACACATCTTGTGGTGAGTTCACATAGAAACCCAGCCTGACTGCAGCAGCTACATCATGTTAGCTGGAGTTTATGTGTCTCCCCGTGCAGAGAGGAGGGGGCAGACGGGGCAGACACACGCCCAGCGATGCGATGCCACAGAGAACAACCCGAGCCATAAAGCACACTAATGTGTCCACAGCGGCTTCAAAAAGCCAGGCAGACAGCAAAAACAGAGACCCTTATCCATCATAGCACCGCGCGGAAAAACAACTGTACACCATCTGTGGAGGAGCCCCCACCCCTGACCCCCCCCCGACACCAGGTAGCTGCAGCTGACGTCAAACACAGTGACCCCAAAGACCGTCATCCTCCAGAGGACAGACTTAAAAACACATCACACACACTTCTGCGGGAAACTTTGAGAAGACGAGACTCTCTACTGCGTGATCTGTGGAGTGTAATGCACACATCACGGGTGTTTTTAAGATCCACAGTGCAATCAAAATGCAATGCTTTGGCACTAACAGCTGCACAAATCAATATATTTGCAGTACAAATGGATAACATGAATGATCCTTTGAGTTGTAGGGCCTTTAATCAACTGATTCTCATGTGGTTTATTTGTATGTAAAGACCTTTAGTCTGCACATATGTTGTTTAATGGATTAAACAACTAAAGCTAATTGGCTTTTGCATCATAATTAAACGATTGAACTCCTTCAAATCAAGCAGCATTGTACAAATAACCCTAAAACAAGCAATACAACTAGTACTTTCTTATTTTTCCACTAGGGGTATTTTAGCTGAACATACGGTAACATATTGCACCACCAGATGTCTGGACTCAAGTAAAAGCTATTTATCTGAAACTTTAAGCAAAACTTAAATGAAACTCACCCGTGGGGTTAAAGTTTAGCAAGGTAGCTTAAACCTGAAAACCTTGAAACAGTTGGATAAGTGCGTTTCATGAGGTTTCAAAGGGGGGTCAGAAAAGGGACATGCACACGTGTCACTTTAGCAGTGTTTCAATGAACTGAAGGAAACACAATTCAGTTGTCACTCTAAAACAAGCTTTCATCACGTCACCAGGAGCTAGTTCTGTTCCACTTTAATGGATATCCAGATGATCCGAGGGCTCTTACTTGATGTTGTCCAGGCAACCAGAGTCTGGTTTCAAGATGGCCGTGTGATGGAACATCTTGTAGAGGGCGATGCCGAGGAAGATCACGTTCAGCTGAGGGACACAGAGAGGAAGAGGGGGTGTTTTCATTCATTTGAAATGAGTTTCTGCCAACCAGAGCAGAGACATCCTATGAGTGCATGATGGTGGAACAACAGAAACATAAGAGGAAGAGGAGGGAGAGGAGGGCTGCACGTGTGACTTCCTCACACTTGTCTCATCATATTCACACTTAGAGAAAACCTCTGGGAATAACTGCCAACACCACTGAGGTCCTTTTCTTTTACACTAAGCAAAATACACTTCGCATTGATATATTTTTGGGTGAAATGCTTTGATTTTTTAAAAGTTCTGTCGATTGAAAAAGTTTCAATACCTCCATACAGAAATTGCACAATTTTATTTTTAAATATAATCTGTTTTAATGGTGACTTTACAACATCTGTCCAGGGACTACAGATCAACAATTCCCCTGCTATATCACAAGCGATGAAATCCTTTACTCAGAGGGATGTCAAACAGTGCAACACTTTAATTGTACCATGAAAGGACACTTTTTAATTTGACTTCCTTTGGAGTACTTCTGTTTCTTTATGCACAAGGTTTCAAAATGTGAAATGAAAACTTAATAAAGCTGAGTCAAGAATGTCTCAGTTTGACTTTTACACCTGCCTTTGACAAAAAAGTCTCATTATTTCCTTTTTCTCTGCAAGTCAGAAATCACAAAATCAGATAATGAGTCAAACCTGGTCGCTAAATAAGGGTGCCGGAGTGGCTCCTCAGGAAATACAGCAATTAGTACGCTTTCACTGCTGCACAGCTATTATTAAGATAATAAGAGGCGAGAATAGAAAACACTTAAAAGGCATCTTTGCCCTAAATATTCACCAAACTCCTGAGGAACAATTGGATCTGGTCTCTTCTTCCCAGCATGGAAACTATTATCTTCATTTTGATTTGTTAATGCTGTATGTTCAGCTTCTTTCCTTGATTTAGATGTTTCATACAGTATTACTGGTTACAAAAAATGATATAATAATCTAATACACTTATACTGTATAGCCCTAATAGTTATACACTATTGTTTAAGAAATGTTACTACACCTTTTGTAAGTTATAACAGTATTCATTTGAATGACTTACATAGGATTATATATAATTTATTCATTTCCAAATTGGGTTTCCCCCCCCGATGAAGCAGCAGCATGTTACCGTCACAACTAACGTATGTTTATATCATAATAGCAATACTAAACACTGAAAGAGTATAATTCAAATGAATGTTAATATGCTGTTACATTATCATTGTCTTAAAAGATAATCAAAGTGAAAGCAGTGGGATCAGTCAAATACATATTTTATTGTAAAATATGGGTTGTCCTAATCGTGTAAGACATAGGGAGTGTGTGTGTGTGTGTGTGTGTGTGTGTGTGTGTGTGTGTATGTGTGTGTGTGTGTGTGTGTGTGTGTGTGTGTGTGTGCGTGTGTGTGTGCGTGCGAGGGGTAGAGAAAGGTAGTTTAGTAGAGTAGGAACAGGAACAGAATCAATCATAATCTGGGAGTGGATTACTCCAACACTGCATACTGAGCAGAGTTCACTCTCTTTTCTCTACGTCTCCCCCCTCCTACCCTCTCTTCCCCCCCAAAATTGGTCTCAGCCGGTGACTGCAGCGGGTGACACGCTGCGATATATCCTCACATCCCTCATCTGTTTCTCGGGACAGCTGTGCCCGCGGAGACTTCGGCGCTCAACAGGGCGGAGAAGAGAGGGAGGGATCTCGCTGGAGCGTTTAAGGAACGACCCGCAGGCTAAGTAGGGTTAATGAGCAGAAAGGGGGGAGGGGGGGTTCGCTTACCATAATTATCAAGGTTGCCGGTCCTATGAAACTCCAAATGAAGTAGGTGTCCAGGCGCAGCCAGCATCTGCAATAAGGGGGAGAGGAGAGGGGGGAGAGAAAGATTTAGGTTATGGCTTCATACAGCGAGGATATACATCAAGTGGAAGTGACTCAGACGAATAGGCTCTTCACAACACAGACTGCTGCAAGGGCAGGAGAATTATGGACATGAGAAAGAATTTGAAGGAAAAGGTTTTCAGTTTCAATGAGTTTCAATGGGCTTTGATCAGAAAACAGGTGTCACAGTTAAAGAGGCCCTATTCTGCTCACTGTCAGGTTCATATTAGTTGCATGTCTTTATATGCCTTTGTTAACAATGTGTTTATACATTCAGGCATCACTTCGTTTTTTTGGTTTCCTAAAATGTTGCTCCGTTTCGACTATGGTGGTAATTTTGAGAAACTCTTTCTTTTTGCTTCGACTCGGATTTCAATTTGTGGGGTTAAGTAGGATACTACCATTACAGATGATAATTGATGACCGACTCAGTTCTTAATTGAAAGGTAGTATCACTCAAAAGGAATTGGATTGCCCTTGACCCTGACATGTCCAGACACAAGGAGCCTCACATGTTCACTAAATTACTCTGCTGTAATTATGTCAAGGGAGGCGTGTGGTGCAGTGGGTGGAGCGTTGGTGTTCGGATCAGGGGGTCACAGGTTCAAACCCCACTGCAGTCAGCATGTCGTTGTGTCCCTGAGACACTTCACCCCAAATTGCTCCTGTGGCGATTGCCCACAGTATTGAGTATGTAAGTCGCTTTGGATAAAAGCGTCTAACAAGTGACATGTCATGTCATAATGTAATGTAATGTCAATAATTAAACACCACGCTCTCCTGACCTTACTATCATATCAAAAGAAGTGAGAATAAATAAACACAGGAGCAACAGGACAGAAGAAGGTGGAAGTGATGCTTAGAAATAGCAAAAAATGATTTATGACCTGTGGTTGAATTATTAATCTGTTAATCTCCGCTGCTGCAGCAGAAAGACGCCTCCATTTTTGGACACTGGAAAATGATAGTTCATACAGGCATGTTGTCTTTCAAGGGGGGGCATTTCATGGTATTTTAAACCATATAAAGGCCAGGGGGCACTTTAGAAGAAAATAGGGGTGAATAGTTCTGCAGAAAGACAGAACGCTAAGCAAATATGTCTCTTAAAATGTCCTTGACAAAACAATTGTTGCACGATCTGATGAAGGCTTTTTGGTCCCATTGTCTTGCATACAAACATGTATTTGCAGCCATACTGTGCTTTTAAAACCTCCACTGCAAAAGGACCAGAATGCACATGTTTGTCACTGCAGAAGTGTCAGTGTGAGCAGAGAGCATATAATAGGGGAAGTGACGGGATAGAAGTGACTGTTGCTTTGTTGTTGATATGTCTCCTGCTCTCTGATGCCACTGGATAAGAGGAGGAGACACAGAAAAACACATATGGAAGCATAACGAAGAGCAAACAGAAGACACGCAGAGAATCTGGCAGCTCATCAAAGCGGGTGTGCTCGTGGAAAGAAATGACGCTGAAGCTTCTTATTGTTCGTCTCTTCCTCAGATCAGAGAGATGTAAAGACGTGGTGGGTGGTGGGAGCTGCAGGCTGTTGTTTCTTTCTGCCTGTCACAGTAGAGGCTCTAAATACTAATATGAACCTGCACGTGAGCGAATAGGGCCCCTTTAAACTATAATCTTAAAAAGGGACAGTTCACTCACTGATCAAAAACTATGCCTTTTCCCTTCCACCTGTAGTGCTTATCAATGTTGGTGTGATGTGTTCAGTGTCAGCCTTCTCTCTACTGAAATACACCCGGTTAGCTGGTGTCCTTAGAAGCCGACTAGTGAAGAAGCATGTAACACAACCGCCCTCGAAAAAGAAAACCCAAAGTATAGCTTGTTATAAATAAATAGGATTTTGAGAGAAACTACGAATACAACCTCCTTCCAAAAGATGAAAATGTGTTGAATATTCTTGAATTATTAACCAAACTATCCCAACTAGTGTGCTTTAAAGATACATATCTAACACAGCTAATAGCTAACATCTACCCTGAGTCCTGAATACTTGCTGAAGTGAAAATGCAATAAACACAACAGGTTTCAATTAACTATATATTAAAGCAATATGGTTATTTGCAGATATTTTTGTAAGAATTCAAATGCATCCAACATGTCTGTCAGGCCTGAAGCGTATAAAGCTTTTGACGAGAGGGGCTGAAAGTAAACATAAGTGTTTATATTTACAATAAATATCTACAGGGGAGAACTTGGACTAAACCCAGCCATTATTCTGCACTACAGTAACACAACTACATTACTGAAACTGGTTTCAAGAGGGTCCAAGTGGTTTGATGTATTACTTTCATTAAACGGAGTAATCCTGGTTCTGCTGACTCCAGAAGAGCTGCCTTGCTCAAGGGTCCATTGAGAGTAATCATTCTCAAAGAGTAATTTAATAAAGGTCTCCTGAGTTCAGAGTTTCCACTTTAATGTTGGGTCACTTGCTGGATATTTAAAATAAGACCACCTATGATAATGCTGCTATAGCCCCTTAAATCCCCCCCCCCCCACACACACACACACACACACACACACACACACACACACACACACACACACACACACACACACACACACACACACACACACACACACACACACACACACACACACACACACACACACACACACACACACACACACACACACACACACACACACACACTTATTGCTATTCAACACTCGTCCCGCCCCGTCCCTTCCCTCATCCTTCAATGGCGGCGAATAATTGTTCCACCGGTGGCAGGCTTTAATTATTCACATGATGCCAAGGCTCAGGCGGTGGCAGCTATCACCTCATCCATCACCAGGAACTACCAGTGTGTGTGTGTGTGTGTGTGTGTGTGTGTGTGTGTGTGTGTGTGTGTGTGTGTGTGTGTGTGTGTGTGTGTGTGTGTGTGTGCCATATATGATAAACATCTTGGAAGCAAACTGCTGATGCTGGTCTTCATTATTTCAGATGGCTTTGAGATTTACTCTGAGGTACGGGGGGGCGATCCTTGCTCTGCTTTATGGAGCACTTGGTGTATGCAGCTTCAGAAGGAAATACTAAAAGACAGTGTGTGTCTCTCTGTTAATCTGCTGTCTCTTCCTCTCTCTTTCCCTCTTCATCTCCTTGCTCATAGTCCCTCTCCCCCCCCTCATCCTGATGTAATTTGTGCATCCTAAAATGCTGACATTAGCCACAACAGCCATTCATCCAGCAATACTATCTCGTGAAGTGAGCATCTCTCACTGTCAGAACCATGTCAATTCAGCAGCTCCCGTCCCTGTTCTGCTTCATTAAGAGTTGATGATGAGCTATAGCTATTGTAGCATCATCTGCAAGATTGTTAGAGACCCTCGAACAAAATAAACTGTTGTTAGCAGGGTTTTTATATCGGTGGAGAGACAGGCATGTGAGGGTCAGCAAATAAAGCCTTTCCTGCACCGTAACAATCCCCAGATGTGAGGTTATTTTCTAAAACTGGAAGTAGAATTGTCTTCTCATCATTAACATAAATTGCTCTCTTTGGTATCCATTGCAACTTGACACATTTGACTTTCTGCCTGTACTTTTTGTTGTGCACATTTAAACTGTAATTATCTTAGCAACCACTCTAGATGGTATGTACTCTAGTCTAAAGCTGAGCCCCAAAAAATAAATGTTGCATGCAGAAAGGGAAACCATTTCTTCCGCAGCCTTTAGGACAGATTGTGAAATGAGCTCACATTCGGTCGGTCCCGTAGCTGCGATAGTCCACTGCAGCGGAAACGGCCACAATTAGCGCGGGGACCCCGTAGCCCACCAGGTAGAAGTAGCGCTTGCGTGAGTGCTCGCTCTCAAACACCTCCACCAGCATGATGTAGAGCTGCACGCCCTCCAGGAACATCCACGTGAATGCCGCCAGGAAGAAGAAGTGCAGCAGGGCGGCGAAGACCGCACAGGCAATCTGAGAAGGAAGGGAAGTGTGAGTGTTAATCAGTTATTCTCTGGTTTCCTGCAGGATTAAATGCTTTGCTAGAGGGCAGAATATGTGACTATAACCAAACAGCATATTCTGACCTCTGCATGTTTGTGCCTTCCTCACAATTAGCATTGCTTAGCTCTGTTTGGCTTAGGCTGTTGGAAGTGAGCCTGTGGTGACTGGCAGGAGCTGCAGATACTGAGCCCATGTGTTCCTGTTTGCTGTCGCTGGCATGGATGAAAGGGAGATTTGAAGAAGAGGAGTCCTGCAGCCATTTGGAGCTCAGAGCATTTAATACTGCGGCCAGATACGCAGGAGCTCGTCGTGCAGTTACACACTCTCTAAGTCTGCATGTGCCCACACACTTTCTAACAATAATAAGACACACTGCCACTGTCAGGGATTGATCTAATTATCGGCACAGTTGAACATAACTGGGGAGTTTTGTCACTGAAATGGGTTCAATTAAATAACTAAAAGGTTGAGTGGACATTAATTGCAGTGATTTTAGAGCCGGGCGGTGAATCAAACCCATAAAAGGTTATACAGTAGAGGGCGAGGTAAAAGCCAGAGCATTTTATTTAACTTCAAAGAGGAAGCTTTGAGGTTAAACTGGGATATTATTATCATTTTAAACCATTAGGCTGAAATTAACAACACTGTATATTTCTTTCTCTGTAAATCGTATAATATGTTTTAATGTTATTGCCTTCAATTTTTTAAATATACTTTTGAGATATTTATTTGTATTACTTTTTTTATCATTTACTCTATACATTTGTTTAATTGTTAATGTTATTTTTTCCTTTTAATATGCAACTATTGTTATGACTTGTATTTGTTTGATTTAGGTTGAGTTGAAATGGTCCTATTTAATGCATCTTGCACGAATAAAAAAATCACTTTGAATCTGTTATAATCTTTTGGTATTATGTGTTCTTTAATTGTTGTTTTCATGCATTTTATGCCGTAAAATGTTATTGAGTACCCAAAAATGCGCTGTATAAATAAAATGTATTATTGTTATTATTTATAACATTGGATTGCTGAATGTTTGTATTTATTTATTCAACCATTTACAGCAGTTTGTTTTGTAAAAAGTGCAGCGCAAATGAAGTCTTCCCTTTCTCTGAAAATAGTATTCTCCCAGGAGCATGTGAATGCACCATTGGTCTTTGAGGAGGTATGCGCTCTCAAAGTGATCATTATTGATTATTATTACAACTAGGAGTCATGTATTTCTGGTTAACATAGTCCAGCTAATAATACAGAAGTGAATTATAGGTATGCTTGGGATAACACTGCATGTTTTAAACAATGATATTAAATAAATGACACATACTGTCATACAATCATTTACAGTATGTTTCCATCCGAGAGCAAATATAACTGTGCCTCATTGGAAACAGAAGTGGCACGACAGCATGAAGCTGTGGGTGGAGCAAAGCCCTCCGCCCTCCAGTACACATGTAATGACATTTGTCTAAAGTGTGAACACACACACTTGAAGATGGCACACACAGCTGAAACTCCAGTTACTAAAAGATGCTTTAGTGTGTCGAAAGGATTAATGCAGATTATTCTGAAGAGTTTATAAATGTGAGAAGTGCAGCATGACGAGGTTAGGGAGTGAAAGGATGAATTAATGTCGTTGAGAGAATAACATTTGTGTTCTGTGTGAGTGTCATCTCAAGTGAGTGTTTGCTTCTTTTGCAGCCAGGAGACCGAGAGGAGTGTTTGTCAAATAAAGTGCATCTATTCCTCTTTTTTAAGTATTTCCTCTCAGTGCCGAGCAGAATCTAAAAGTTCATGGCCACAGACTCTCTCTCTCTGTGGGAGGGGCAGCAAAGGTTACACTCCCTCTTCAAATCAGAGGAGACGATGGTGGCGGTCCTCCGTGGAGGTTAATATAAATGCTTTTCTTTCTCTGGACTATGAATTAGCAACAATTATTTGTATAAAACTTTGTTATTCATGTCTTTATTTGTTTAGACACTTTCATTTCATTCCTTACTGACTAGATGTTTAAAATACAGCAACTGGATTTATATAAAGAACTGAAGTTATACTCATTTTGGCCACATTTTTCAAGTGTTTGTAGGCCTACTTAATGCCAGCCTCTTTGTTTTGAAGTGAGCTTTATTGGCAAGAGTACGATAAGAAAGCTTGATTCAACTCTAATGTTTGAATATTAAAAAACTGTTAATAGCTGGATCTAGCAGCAAGCTAGCTTAGCTCAGTTTAGCATACCGAGTGTAAAAGCAACTATTTAGAAATGTGTCACTTTTGCAGTACACATTTAAACATATTAGATTACCTAATGATTTAAATCCAACACTTAAGATTTCAAATTAACTCTGTTCAACCAACTGTGTTTTGAGATTGGTTTTCTTGGCAAGAGTGTACGATAAGAAAGCTTGATTGAAGTCTAATGTTTGAATAATAAAAACTGTTAAAAGCTGGATCTAGCAGCAAGCTAGCTTAGCTCAGCTTAGCATACCGAGTGTAAAAGCAACTATTTAGAAATGTATAACTCTTGCAGTACGTTGTGCAGGAGGCGTATTGCAGAGGTGCTAAATAAAGGGACTCCATAGAAGGTGTCTTACCGGCTGGTCCCCGCGGTTGATGCCCACCAGGAACAGAGACTCTGCGATGAACAGGCTGATGCACAGGTTCTTGTGGATGGTGTTACGGTCGCTCTGCAGGCCGCGGAAGAAGCAGAAGGTGAAGAGGCTGATGAGGAGGCAGACCAGAGACAGGAGGATGCCCACCCAGGTGATCACGTCCAGGAGCATGTCATGGACCGGGTCTGTGTTCTGCACGAGGAGGGCACAAAGAAGGAGGTCAACTTGCAGCAAAGTCCAGGACAAACTAGTATTTTAGAGTATATTGGACACAGACCAACAGATTAGTTTGACTGTAAGGAAAAGACAATGCTGATAAAAAAACATGACCATACAATTAAATCACCATCCAGTTCCAGCAGCTCCCCTCTTTTATTTCCAATATTATTTTGTTTGTGTGCAAAGTGCTATCAATACCCCGTGCCAGATCGAGCCACAGGTGGCACACATCAATCATGAATGACTCGGCATGAATCAATCTGAACTGTTTCATCTCGCTGAGGAAACAAGTGGAACAAAGTGAGCGGTCCAGAGCGCGGCAGGTGTCTCCCACTAACACAACAGAAATACAATCAAAGCACGACATGCTCAATAACTGCCACTGATGCTTTTAGAAATGTTTCTCTTTTCAAAGTGTAATTTGCAACCACAGCCAGTTCTGGGCTCTAAAAAGCCTTTTCCTGACCATAAATCTGCGGCTTTACGGGAGAGATAAGGATCAACAGCGATTCCTCCGCGGCCATGAAAGAGAATTTACATCAGTCCATAAAAGCCAAGTGCACACAGGGATACTTGGACAGAAGAGGGGAAAGGCAACTTGCCCAAAAACAGCCGAATCTGCAGAATAACCGACTTATGTGGCCTTAAACAAAGACTGAAAAATATCCTTCTGCCAACAATCTGCCAAGAAAAAACTGTTAGCACTGGAGCTTAGAAATGTGTAAACCGGGCCATAGAGCATTTCTGCTTTTGCTCTGCAACTCTACAAGCTAGCTTAAAGTAATGCATACGTGATTGAAACAGCTAAAAGTTTTGGATAACCAATACAAATTGTTTAAAGTAATACATAAATACATGAACAATGTTAAGTTAATGCTAAAATGGAGCTAAGATGTTTGCAACAGATAGCCTAAAGTAATGCATGCACCATTTATATTGATAAAGGTAATGGAAAAATGGTAACATGGTTCAAACTAATGTACGGATGCTTGAAATGGTTGGAAGTCATGAATAAATGGTTACATTAGATGGATATGATGCATATAAGTTTACAACCGATAGATACAATAATGAATAAATTGAACAAAGAAAAAGAGTAATTGAGAAATAGTCAGACTGACGTGATCAAAGCAAACATTGTGACTGTTTCATTATTTTATTAATGATATTAATAAATAGATATATTTAAAATCAGTTGAAAAGGAACAATTTTGAAGATGGCAGGGAGATGTTGATTAATCGGTGACGTCTGATTCTACAATATTTAACATTAAACAAGCACACGTCAGGGGAGCAGATGTGCAGATTAAAAAAACCCACATCTGGTTTTAGGGACTGCAACGTCATCTGACAGTTTACTATCTAGCAACCGGGGGGAATAGAGACACCCCAAGGGGGGACGGGATGGGGGATATTTTAACAAAACGACTGACTGTTATTCCTGCAGGGACTACTATCTGGGAAAAGTTTTTGACAACATGTCTATGTGTGTATAGGTAAGGTGGATCAAACATTAGTTATTTTAAAACACAGGAATGTTGCACATGTTTGAAGACAGAAGCTACTCCTTTTAACAGTAGCGGCCATCACAGACCAGATAAAACCAGTCTTAAGACATATTAAAAGGTGTGTGTACGCAGCCTTGGCTTGCAGCAAATAATGCAAAACCCTCAGCTATAGGGAAATATTTGCTTACGTAGAGAAACAACGGCTCGAAGGCATGCATATCTCTCAGGCAAGCTCATCTTTAAAGCCAGTCAGCAGTTTATTTTCTGGGGGCAGGGAGAGAGAGAGATCATCAACACCCACGAGTGGTTTGTCTTTCTTCTCCGTGCTCCCCTCAGTAGAGTTACAGTGAGGGAACTAGGGGGATGTAGTATGGCAGAGAGCCTTGTTTAGAGGCAGCAGAGAGGGGAACAGATGCTGATCATTAAGGCGCTCGGCAACAATAACAGCCGCAGCGCTCCTCCAGTCTGGGGAGAGCGCTCTTTTGATTTTCCTGCCTGATGAGCCGTTGTGTATATGTTGGAGGGGCGAGGGGGGGGGCCGCAAGATGTTACTATGTGTGTGTGTGTCTGTGTGAGGCGTACTTTAGAGGGGTGCACACGCAGTGGGTGGCAACAGATGTTTGAGCCTGCCATGTGACACATAGTTCAGCCTCACAGAGGTATTGATGCGGTGGGTGGTACTAGCTGCTGCACATTGTGAGGGGACCCTGGGGTCTACCGCACCATCCATCACTATCTCACCTCCCATTGGAGAGAGGCCAGGTCAGAGAGAAAGGTGTGAAGTCTCCACACCTGGTGATGGATTTACTGAGGAGTCATGTCTTTGTTCTGGGAGGTGCATGATGGCTGAGACGTGGCCAGCCACATTGTCTCTGCTGAAAAGTTTGCTTTCACTGGGGGCTGTGCCCAGGCAGGATGGCAAATGATGTGATCTGCAGAGCCTCGGCAGCTCACCTCACACCGACAAGCCCCAATGATTGGAATCAGTCCAGGAGGCTCTAACGCGTCCGGACGTAATTTCTTCAGAAATGTACTCGCTGTGTCCTCGAGTCACACAGCGCCCATGTTACTTAGTGGAGCGAGGCACATTTGTGCACATTTGATTTGTCTTCCAATCTTCTCTGTTCAGTTTTTCTCCTATTTCTTAAACACACATACTTGCTCATTCCAGCAGACGGATGCCTGGGCAGATTGGCTTTACCCCTGATCTGCTCTCCTTGTAGCACAGAGTAAGGTTTCTGGGCTCTCGAGCACTCTGACAAGTAGGAGCAGACGTGGCGACGAGCATTTTGCATCGCGCTGGTCGAACCATCTGAACCTCACTTCACATCAGACGCACTTAATTACCATAACACTCCGTGTCCAGAGCCAAAGCCTCCTGAACCCGTTCTCTGAAGTGTGAAGTGGAGAAGAGAACAGAGCGTCAACCCTTCATCCCAACCGAACCGCTCCCAGTATGGGGCTATGAAGCCAATCCAATTAAAATGCATAAATCTTCTGCGGCGTTGCACTCGTGAAATACGGTCAGGCCATGCTGAGGGCTAGTGGCCCGCTGCAGGGAGTCATGTGACACCCTCACCTAGGGTACGGCCGAGGATTTATGATCCGGAGTTGCAGTATGAATCAGTTGCCGGGCAAATTTGTCAGGTTTAAAAGGACTGGGGGAGATATTCCAGCGAGCATGGCGGGAGTTGACATTCAGCACGTGCACCTCATGCCACACTGTGTTCAGAGCTGCGATAACTATGATATAACGCCGGAGCAGGACTTGCAGTTGCTATGGTACTTAATGTGGTCTCCATCCTCTGTGGATGTGCCTTAAACAGATTTATTCCCAGCACTGTGTGTACAACATGAAACGCAACGCTAACCTTGACCGTCCTCTCTCATCACAGCTACCGTCTGATGGTGCTCGGCTGGAGATGTCCCGTGAAGACAGTGATGAATGTTACCCAAATATCGCCCTCTCCATCATGCAGGGGGATGTGCCATTGATTTATATTAACTGATGTGTCGGGGAAAGTGGCACTTACCAGTAGCTCAATGCCTCCCGAGGGCCTATCTGAGCACACACATCTACTACGTGAATAACGGCCTGTAGGGGGAAGCACTGCGGCTCCATATGTCTTCAGCTGGGGCTTCAGCTTTATTTAAAGGGTGTGTTCTCATCTCAATGCACACATTGTGGACCTTAATTCAAAGACAGAGCCATTGGTGCTTTGATGACTATAAATGGAATCTTGAAGATGTTTGAAGAAGACCCTGTTGACATGATGGTTCTCCTTGTTGTTTTATTGACTGCTGTGACAAAGAATATTTATGCAACAAAAAGGCCAATATGTGCACAAAACCAAGCTGACATTGACCCTTCCGAAGGGTACAAAGATCTCTTGTAAAATCCTGAATTATGTTTTAAACGGGCCCTTTTATGCTTTTTGGGGTTTTCCATCATTTAAAATTAAACAAATAAATGGCACTGAAACTAAATCAAAGATGTTTAATTGGACACTCAAGTTGGAAGAATTAAACTGCATCCAGTGTGAATAAGGATAATGTCAGAATCAATGACATTTTCTTGTGATTTGTCCATATCATAGTGAGCTAAGATTTGTTACAGTATCTTAAATGAAATGTCATTTTGATGCACTGACAATGAAAGAATGAAATGCTTGGTATTTGTTATTTTTCTTTTGTAGTTGCTCCTTTGGTTTATACAGCTTGTAAAACGCATCATGATGGGTCATTTATTGGTGTTTACTTCTGGACTATCTTTCTGGATGTATTATTTATACATGACACAATAATATAAATCAAACTAAACATCAATCAACAGGATAGAGAACAAAATAAGTTTTCTTCAAACACAGTAAGAAGGCTCAAAATCAGGACATCTTGAGGTTGCAATCATCAGTGCTCTCAGCAAAGTCACATTCAAATAAGTTGCTGCAAAACATGATTTAAAGATACCAAAGAGACGTATAATCTCTCACACGCAGCTGCCGTCTGCAAGAACAGTTTTCATTTGTTTATGCGGCCAGCGGCGCTCTTCCCTTCGGGTTTCCGGATCAGTGGAAGGCATCAGAAATCGCTTTAAAATGAACAAACAAGAAGCTCGAGTGGCGACATGGCAGCATCTCTCGATACCCTTGTGATCGTCTGAGTGGCGTTACCTGATCGCTGCGTCCGACAGATATCGTTTGAGTGGCTGAAGCGCTCGGTTCAGATATTGGACTTTAATGAGTTCTCGAGGAAGATTTCACATGAGCTAATCCAGTTAAGGGCACTGCATTAGAAAACCTCAAGGCTCTAAAGATCTTTGTGTGCGCACATTTTATCTACGGTATGTGATTATTCTGAGGAACTAGTTGACTTCAAACATAATTCATCCTGATGAGACACTGTGTGAGGTGTCTAATAATAGCACAGTTGTGGCCCATAGTGCATTTGTGCACATATATTAGTTGTATGACAGCATTTCGGTCTCAAAGGAGTCAGAAAGAGCTGGGAAATGTTAGACTTTATGGTACAGATTAAGGAACAATAATATATAACGGATAAATAATAATTCCCATTTTCAGACGACAATATATATTTTCTACATATCAATTGTTGACGACAGATTGTAGTCTTTCCCTCCTACAGTAGATGTGGGATGAAATGTTAAAATGCACATTAAATCCACTTCCTAAAAATTCAAATCAGTACAAGGACAAAAGGACAGTGGTCATAATGTCTCATGCACATTATGTGGCATTTTGCATGCAATAACTTGGTGCTGAAAATAAAACACTACAAGATAAAGTGAGTATCACTATGCGTAGCGCGCCTAGCATCCATGAGCTAAACAACAACAAGATGAAAGATGATGGCAGCGCTGCGGCAAGGAGCGTCTGTCCTCTGAAGGAAAATTGTAATTACAGCTTCGCCCATCTTCTCTTCGATGCCACTAAAGAAATAAACAAGGTTAGAATATAATCTGCTGCTCGGAGGGTAATGAGTAATAAGAATGCAGGGATCAGCATTGGTATGTCCTGTTTCCATGGATACAAAAACTCTGAGTGTCTTGCATTTATGAAATATCTTTCTCTGCCTCTCACATACACACTCCTTTCACCAGTGTTCTCAGATACAACACTGTGACAGTTTGGCAAATAAAAAGCCTCCGTATCTGCCATCCAGCGACACCTTCGAACAAGCAGCCTTTTATAACAACAGAGTGGAGAGAAGATAAAGAGTAAGGTAGGGGGAGAAAAACGCTATCACTCAGAACTGGGATGTAACAACTGTCCACTTTCCTCCGGTGAATGAAGCGCCACAAGCCAGCCGGGCTTTCCAAACCACTAAAGGATTGGGCTGAGTGAAAGCGCTCCTTTTACGGCTTCCTTTCCCCCCGCTCTGCTTTCACCGCGTGAAGGATCCCATTCTTCGCGCCTCCCTCTCTATTCCAGCCTGGCCTTCAGCCTGCAGAGAGCTTAGTGGCAGCAGAGTCACGCTGCTGATTGACAAACAGTGGCTCCCTCTGGAAGAAACCCCTCACCCAGCCCTCCCTGGAGCCATGTGTGCAGGAGGAAGATGAATTTCAGACTGTGTGCATGCATGCTTTTTGCAGAGTGAAGGCAGTTGGAGTGGTTTCATGGACGAGAGCCAACTGGGACGCTGATTGAGAAGAGAGGCTCTCAGAGACAGATGCCTCAGCAGCGACCAGACTCTCCCTGTCAGCGGCAACTCCTCAAACTTCCTGTGACAGGAATTATTAATCCGTCTGTCAGCAACAGAGAACTTCTTCTCTAACATCCTCTTTACCCACTGAGCTTTCTAAAGTGCTGCCCACAATAAAAACAACACACACATCTCCAAGCCAAATTACACTTCCTTTACTGGAACAGGCCTTATTTTCTTTTACAACTTCCATTAGCACCTCCCAATGAATTGCTCTCCGGCACTCACACTAACTGCGCTCATTCCACTTAGCTTCTGCAGCTACCCTGAAGGCAAAAAAACCCAAAATGGTGATCAAATCCAGCGATATGAGGATACCTTGTTAACGTGCCCGTTGTTCTCTCTTTTCTGTCTTTATTGGTAAACAAAAGACCACTTTCATGCATAAATAAAATAAGCAAATAGATGGATTTTAGTCATTATAGAAACATGATGTGTTGCTAAAGATGCATTCATCCATTTACCTGCAGAGTGATAACACTCTACTTCTATGAAAATGGGCATAAATGTACTTGAAACAGGCATTGTTTGCTGCAGCTCATCATAAATCCAGGCTGTTACACAGACAGTTTTGAGGCGGCTGCAATCGATACACACTTACACAGACAGGGTCATTGTTTAAAACTATATGAAGAGTGTGTGTGTTTATTGGCACTTTAAATGTTAGTCTGCAAAGTGCTGTGAAGGTCAGCAAACACTTCTCAATCTATTACAACCCTGTGAACTTAAAAAGTAAGGGAAATATAAAACAAATATTGACAAACAGAAACTGCTGAAGCTCACTTTCTTGTAAGCGGCTGTGTAAAGCAGTACTGACGGATCAATGCCTTTTCATTCCTCTTGATTGCATTTTGGTAAATTGCACTTTTTGATGATAAACAGGTCGTCCAGGAGGAGGGAAGAGTTTGCCTACCTTGACGTCCACGTGGGCCATGAGCACGGCGAAGTTGGTGAGGTGTGTGCAGGAGCAGGTGGTGTGTGTGCGGTTGGTGCCGAGCAGGCGGCAGTCCTGCGTGGACCAGAAACCCGTCATGGTCCTCTTGGAGTAACTCCAGAACGAACAGTTGGGGTTGAAGTTCTCCTCAGACTGCTGTTAGAGGGAAAACATGAATAACAGGTTGAATTCATAACAGGAACACATGAGTGCTGCCCCCTTTAAGTGGAGTAATTTGTCGTTTTTGTCACAGTTGAGAATTCTTTATTTGATTTATGACAATAGATCAACAATGTATTGGGAGGCGTGTGGCGCAGTGGAAAGAGCCTTGAAGTTGGGATCAGGGGAGCACAGGTTCAAACCCCACTGCAGTCAACATGTCATTGTGTCCCTGAGACACTTCACCCCAAATTGCTCCTGTGGGGATTGCCCACAGTATTGAGTATGAAAGTCGCTTTGGATAAAAGCGTCTAACAAGTAATGTAATGTAATATTGCAATATGAACTAGTGCAATATTCAAATCACAGGAAAATAAAGGTGAATACAAATGTTTTTGAGTGTGTCTTTGTGGAAAAACTGCATATTGAATCTACAACAGAAACATTTATTTAGTTGCGTGAAGCCGCATGTTGTCTCCTGACAAGGTCAAACAAGGGGTCTGGAGTTTATCACCGGTAGTTTTATCAAGTTAAATGCTTAAATCCTTTCTTTGCAGAATAAACATCCCGAGAACAGTTTTCTCCTGCCCTTTTCAATATGAAGCTGGTTTTACTGTCATACAGCATCATGCAACCTCTGCCTGTTTTGTTTTTTTTACTTTCTTTTTAACTCTAATGGACTGCCCCTCTATCTCGCTCGCCATTTTACACAAGTCATCCACATCCACTGCACAACAAAATAAAAGGAATGATAACTAGATACATCAACCGCCCTTCCCTCTTGAGCCCAATTTATTTTGTGTCTTCAGAAGCAAAGCAGATGTGGCTTTTCTTTGTGATGCACAGCTGCCAAGGTTAAACATGTCCGCCGTCTTACTGTTAACTCTGCGAGGAGCTGCAGTTTGTCATAATCTCGCTGTAGGCTAATTAGTCTAATAAGGTTTATCCTCTGTGAATGTAAATTTGCCGCTGACTGAGTTTACCCTTCACACATCCAAACGGCGTGTAAAAGACTCCTCGGCGAGCAGATAGGACGACCCTCCGTCCCATTAATGACTTTAATGAGTCCCATTAAGTGGTGAGGCAGGGAAGCAAAACAATAACCAGAGGACACATCATCTCCCCAGAAGAGCAGCGATCCAAAACCTCACGCATCAGAGCGGGATAAAGTGTGGAGAACTACAAAAAATAGCACTTGAGATTAGAAAACTAAGGTTCATTTTCAAGGGCAAAGTAAAGGTCGACTCGACGTACTCTAGATGAATAAGCTATCATTTTTACGCTGGCCCAAAAATATTTCCATTCGGAGAAATGTGCTGCGGTTTTTGAAACAATGCAAATATCAAAACACAAAAGTGCCAAAACAGACGCAAATGAAGAAACATCTTCCCCAACTTGACGAAACATGCGCAGCATTGACTAAAAGTGCTGCATAAATGAATCCCTGCCAATACAAAACACTACAAGAAGCTGAAAACCAGGGGACACTAAACAAGTGACGCACACAGTGCTTGTTGGTATTCAGGGATTATAAAGTTTGCCAGCTGATGTGATATAAGTAAAGATGATTATCACAGTTATTAGTGAGTACGCTAAAATATTATTTATTTTTCAAAGAAACTAAAATATGCTGTCCTGCAGCCACAAGTAGGCCAGATAATCAGAGCGTCAGAGTCTTCATTTGATGCTCCACAGCACGCTTCTGTACATGCAAAAAGTCAATATTGCATCCAATTAAGTTTAATTAATTGCGCATGATTATTTTACGATTAATTGTACAGCCATCGGTGTACACAGAATGCACTCTATATGTAAATGTCTGTGTGTCTATGTCAATTTAGCGTGATTGACAGACAGTAAGCTGAGAAGTGCAGGAAACACACTTTTGTGAAAGAGCATCGTTTTATCAAAACAGTAAAAAATGGAATCTGCAAATGACTCTTAAGGCAGGTGATTCAGAGCAATAACTGTGCTGATGTTGCCCCTTGACATTTGACCATCAGTTGACATCCACAAGCTCTCCCTCTTTTATTCTCTTTCCCTCTGCAGGGTGTTTCTGCCGTGTTGCTTCCTGCCAGGTCCCTCCTACACATGAGACCTGCTGCAACTCTCCTATGGTTGTTCAACACGCATGGTAATGGCTGAGGGCGCTGTTCGCAGACAAACAGGGATATTTGGAGGGAAGCAGAGTGTGGAGAAGATAATGGAGTCAAGAGGGAGAAGTCGTGGCTCCCCACCATGACTCAGCAGCCTGCAGTGAGGCTCAGCGTGATGGATATTTGTTCAAGAGATCAGTCTAGTATTTGTTCGGACTAATAAACAACAACAGCAACACTCTGTGAGCAATCCTTCACACCTCCTGAATACAACTTTGAGATGGGATTCTTTGTGTGCAAAAGAGACCGAAAGCACAGCGTACCTGCAGATGTCTGATGGTGAAGATGACCGGGTCGGAGAGGTACACTTTGTTGGAGTCCTTGTTGATGGCCGCCGTGACGACCGGGGAGTTAACGATGACCGAGTAATTGGTCGCCATCGCCTCGCTGCCCAGCTTCATGCTGGCGTTTTCCGTTGAGAGGTAGAGCCCGATGTGTTTGTACAGGACAAACGCAATCCGGATCTCACCTTTAGGAAGACAATGGGACAGAAAAACTCAGTCCTGAGCAGAGAATACATTCACAAACACATAATAGGAGAGATGCGCTAAACTTTGTGGTGCCACAAAGCTAGACTCTTCACTATATGTCTAAAATATGTTTGCATACTCTAGGATTAAGATTATATTCAAGTGGAACAAGGAATTGAGCCTTAAAAACAACAAAGGGCTTAAACATAATGAGCCGCGCAGTGGTAATATCATTTGACAACAATATGCTAGTTCGAAGGCTTATACATAATATCAAACGCCAGTGAGCTTTAGCAACACTGTTGTAAACTGTCAAAACACAGACCAGCGTCAGGGTTGCCAAAATAATTCCACAAGAGGAAAGAAATCTTTCCAACATCAACAGACAGTTATTTGAATTCAGCATCCCAAAAATGTGGTTAGTCTCTACTGCTGGCACTGACAAAGGCGAGCATTCCTCTCGTTAAAATCCTCTTCCTCACTATCACCTCCTGCAGCCTGACTGTGGAGTATTGATATGAAAGGAAGCTCCCTCCTGCCGCGACTGAGATCACTCACTCAGATGAAAAGGAAACAGTTAGGGTGCTACGGCGCCGTCTGACGGGGAGATATGGGCCACCCTGCTCTAATGATCCTGAGCCCGGCTGGACGTGGACGCGTCCTCCAGCTGAGAGGAGCCGGGCGCCGTGGGGGCCCAGCCTCATTTACATGAGCTGATAATAAAATCTAAAAATGGACCGGTATTACTCGTGGACATTTCTCATTGTTTCTAACAGCCTCATTTTAGTTTAGAGGCAGCTCTCGAATGTACAGCATGGGTCCTATTACAACTCTCACATCGATCCAGGTGTTTTATATGCAGACCATATAAGAGGATTTGGAAGGAACATGTAAAGTCATTCAATGCATCTGCAATGAATTTACTGCAAGACTTCCATGCAATGTAAGACATGCAAGAAATTAAAAGCAATGCAACAGTATTTTTTATAGCCATGTCTGTTATATCACATCCTGAATAAAACACGACACACCAACTGAAGCATGACTAGGACTCACCGTTTCTCCCGTGCTGCTTGAGCGTGTTAGCCGACAGGTGGATGGAGTTGCCCTGTCCTCCGGTCTGTGGGAACTTCAGATCGGGTAAGTTCCCATCAGTGCTCATCCTCGCCACCTCCAGCTCTGCACACACAGAAAAAACACAGGACAGCATGTTACGAATCAATACGTTAGATTTGTATCATACACAATAGCATTACAGCTGAGGCATATTCCATAGAATATTAAATATGGTTAATGATTTCTAGCTGAGAGTTCGATGACATGATTTTTGAATGACTAAATGAATATTACATGATTACATTTAATTGGACTATCTGCAATATTGAATGTAACTTTCTTCTGTTGATGTCAAAGATATGTGTTTCATGCCACATAACACGCACATAACATCTTCAAGAAATACTTCACACACAAAAGCATCATTTTCTTTTCAAACAATCTCCCCAGGTTACCTTCAATTCCTTCTCTTGCGTTTCGGGTCAAAAGTGACCGAATTACTTTTATTTTAATCATAAATATTGTGTTTTTCATCCAATTGCCTCAATACCTTATGTTATCTTCCACACTAGGCCTCTGAACACATACACTTGATGATCACCACTTGCATTGCATTTTGAGTGATTTATTCAACAGTGAAACACCCTTTCACGTTTTCGGTCAGATTTGACCGCCATAGAAAATGAATGGGTATGAGTGTATTATGTTCATCCTGCAGATGGAAAACATCTATACACACACACACACACACGTTACGGGAACCTCTCCCTTTCTCGCGCTGTATGATGTATCATACCTTCTCACAGGTGCGAGCTCTGTGCCCCTCAAGAAACACAAACCTCTCACTTTCTCGCGCTAAATGCGCCTCCCTTACTGGCTCTCACGCAGATATATTTGTGCCTTGCTCACATTTGACTCATTGACACAATGAGCAGGCGAACGATTAGGCGATTTTCTGTACGAGGGGCTCTGGACACATTTTTGAACCAGATGAAGAGGAGATTGAACAAGATGAAGAGGAGATAGAGGAAGATGTCTCAGAAATGGAAGACAACATTGATCCAGACTATGAGCCTACAACAGACCAGGAAGAGGCACCTGAGGGAGACCAGGAAGAGGCACCTGAGGGAGAGGAGGGAGAGGCCCCTGAGGGAGAGGCCCCTGAGATAGAGGAGCCTGAGGTGACATTCCACAATTTTGCATTGCCTACTATGTGCGTGAACACACGTGAACACACACACACACATGTTCTGTTATGGTATATTTCTCTTTCAATAAATGTTCATTGAAGAAAACAGTATCAGTGTCTTATTTTATATTCATCACAGTGAATGCTGAACTTGATGGGCCCACCGGTGGGTCCGGACCATGACATGAAACACTGGCTTGCTTGTATAAAATTAATACATCCCACACATCATTGGAACGGGAAGAATCTCAGCTACAACACTAACTAAATAATTTCCATCTCCAGTAAACACAGCCTACATGGCAAGCATTTTTATAATATACAGTAATGTAAAACAAGCACTATCTTTGAACTTACTGCCAAAAAGAATATGAAATTCACCCCTGGTGTCATTATGTCTGTCATCCCTTGATTCTACTTGCTTTGACTGTTCAAATGAGATGTCAACCATCACAATTGGATAAGGGGTTCCAGAGATATCACTGTGCAAAATACACCGGTCAATTTTGACCGAAAATAGCATGGGAAGGGGGGTATGACCTAACGCAAGAGAAGGGTTAAAGAAGCATTGTTTTTCTCCAAAGCCTCCAGAGTGAACACAGAATCAGAAACGAGGAGGATTGTAACAGGAAGTTGTGATACAGAATTCACATCACTTTTTTGTCTATTGGTTCACTGTGGAACCATTCAAAGTTTTCTTAAATAATTCAGAGTAACATGGGGTTAAATATGAATAAAATATACTAAAAAATCCCTTTAAGAACATTCTTTCATCATGCATATGAAATGTAAAACTAAACGAACAATAAAATCTCCTGTGACAGCTGATTGTATTGCTCCAAGCAGCTCCACTGAGCCTGAATGCATCACATCCTTTCCTCTCACATCTGTGTGTCAGCAGGACTCTTAATCAACTGCCTATCAAGAGTTCAGGTGACACAGTTTACTCTCAGACTGTCAAAACAAAGGTTTTGTCTGGCCTTTGAATGAAAAGACACATTCATTTCAAGGAGGAGTGTAGAGAGCGGGAGATGAAGAGAAGCTGCAGCTCAGCAGATGTTGTGTCTGCAGCCAGCCCCTAATTTACGGTTCAAAGACTCCAGCGTCACACAGCGGAGGAAAACGAGCTTGCTGTTGGCAGGGCAGCAGAAATAAAAAAGCTAATTCCATCAGAATTACAGTTCCAGGATACAATTGAGCTTCATAAAGCAGTGGAGTGTGCTCTCATCTGGAGAGACCGCTGACCTGTGTGAAGTCTACGCTTTCCTAAATGTCACATTAACTCCAGAGCACTGACATGAATCCACCGTGTGTTGAAAGAAAAGACGTGGCCCAAACTCCCACAAAGAAATGCTGTAGTGCATCCAGAAGAACACCAGTAATATATATATATATATATTAACAGGGGTTATCTTCCTGGTGCAGTGACTTCCTGAAGTGTCATCATCAGCTCCAGGTGTCCAGGGGAGAAACAGGAAGTAAGTTCCCTCACATCAATCCTCATCCACGTTTGGATCATTTAGCGATCTCCCTCCTCTTTCCTCTTCAAATCGCACTGACTAACCTTTACCTTGATGGAAGTAGGTTTGTCTGATGGGTTTTCACAAATGACCAATTTCTGGCCCGTGTTTTGAGACGGCGTCACCTCGGCTCCCTTCCTCTGCTGCAGAGGTGATCAGTCCAAACATTTCACGCTCCTTGCCGCTGCACCACACTAATGGCAGTCATCTCCGCACATAAACCGAACGGCAGATTAGTCTGCGCTGGAGAATCTCAACTGGAAACACAATTCCATCAAGTGTAAGGACTAGAAACTTCATTAAGCCCGATAAGGCATGCAGCTGATGTGATGGCGGTGGACTGTGACATCTCTGTCTTTGATAAAGGTTATCGCCAAAGAAAGCTACAAAAGAGGCCACATCTAATCCTGCCTTTGTGTCTGTTCTCATACTTTCTCTTTTGTTTTAAGGTTCTCTTGTGCTTTTGCAAAGGCCAGGGGGTTTGGTGATACATTCCTATTCGACTTAGCCAAGACAAAACCCCAGATAGCTCCCCGTTCCCTGGATTCCACGCCTGCCTCTGGAATAAAGGAAGCATTTCCCCGCTGCCTCTCTGCCTCTCTGTTCCCTGTGAGGTTGTGTAAAAGAGCTTACGGTGGGCTTTGGGGAGTTCCTTTGATGCCATAGTCGACGTTGGACCCCGAAGGCTATACCTTCAAAGCCGTTTAAATAACACGCTAATCGGCAGAAATCTGCTCATCAGATTATCACGCACGAGAGTGAAGCGCACAGACAAAGTGTGACGTGTAAACACAAACAGACACACAATGGAGAGAGAAAATATCCAGCTGCCTTTCAAAGAAAATAGGTCTCATTATCAGCTTGAAATTTGGGACGAGGATTTCTCTCTGTTCACTCTAAGGAGAACAGTGGTGACAGCAGGTGTGTTTGACACATCTGCACACACACTTTAGTGCAAATCAGTGTGAGGGATCATGAGTCAGCTGCTGCACTGATGTTTGAATGGTCCTTATTTAAGGGCTCCTGCATGGCACGCTTGAAAAAAAAATAAACTGAGCAAATTGAGAAATGAGGCGCAGTAAACATGTCGACATCCCATAATTAACCAGACTACCTCCACGAGCTGTAAAACCCCACTCCTCTCCAAATCCAGAATCTCTTAATACCCACATGAATTGTGCGCCAGATACAATCAAATCCCTTTTATTGATTCTCGCTTCCTTTTTAAGTCAGCAGACCTATATTTTTAGATTTGTTCTGAGAAGAGAGGCAATTCATCATGACATTATTTGTGTCTTTTTATTCCCCTTGCCCCACTAACCGTCCGCAGAACCGGTTACTTCATTTATTTTCATTTGTGCTCTCTCAATGTATGCTTAATACATTCTACTACTGATGACAGTAGCTCCATTATCTGTCTCTGTTGGTATTTATACTTTGGATAATGAGCAGTGATCCCTGGTCTGCACGACACGTGGATAATTCCTGCTAATAAGTTACATTAATATAAGAATAATTATCAGATAATTGTTGATTTACAGCTGACAGAGAAGAAGAAGTCACAGACATATGTGAACATTAAAGAGATAAAACCAAACATTTTTCAATTTCCATTTTCCTAAATATCACAATCCACACTGCTGCTGTCTTCCAGCTGAGCCACTAATCTGTTTCCCAGCAGCTTGAGGACAAATTAACTTAATTCTGTCCAAGATGGTTTACTCATGCAGGCGAAGTCAACCAAATTAAAGTATAATTAAGTGTTTGCTCGATGCCATGCAATTTTCAATGCTTTAATTGCTGAAAAACAGCAAGCCAAAGTGATACAGATACTTTAAGTCTCACTCCAGGAAATTATTATTTGTCAGAATTTGATCCGTGCCTTCTAAATGGTAAATGGACTGTACTTATATAGCGCTTTATCCAGTCTTTAAGACCCCTCAAAGCGCTTTACATACTACATGTTGTTCACCCATTCACACAGAGCAGTGTATGTTACTCTAGGACCTAACATGCTTACACATTCACACACCGTTGGCCATGCCATCGGGAGCAACTCAGGGTTAAGTATCTTGCCCAAGGATACATCGACATGTTGACTGCATGGGCTGGGATCGAACCCACAACCTTCTGGTTGAAAGACGACCGCACTCCCTCACAGCCACAGTTGCCCCTAATGCAATTTGGAAGGCACGGGAGTATATAGTAATTATAAAATATATGTTTTAATGCAATATTAGTGTGAGTCAGCAGGAGCCGGAGAAAGAGCCTAACAGAGCGTATGTGCCCAGTGAACACTGTCCATAGGAAGGAATAGGACGATGCTTTTCCTAATGCATCCATGGCAGAAAACATTGCATGCTTAATATTATTGTATATGTCCTAAGAAATGTATGCTGGGCACTTTTTTGGCAGTCTATTTTCACACCATATGTAAGTTAGCATCAGGCAGTTTCAAAATGTGTGTACTCTTATTATACCTTTATAACACTTTAGTGTACTCCACATTCAATGGTTCATAGCACTGGCAAGTTGACTACTGTACTGAAAGACACTCCAAACAAAGCGCCACAATCCTTGAAACATTGAACACCTACTATTTGTATGCATATTAACACACGTTGGAGGGGATATTGAGAATGACTCCTTGGTGTGTCTGTTTCTTTATATATTCAGTATTTACAGGTAAAGGACATCTGCATGTGAAGATAGACTCCAAACTAAATGTTCAAAAGCACTAAAAACATTGTGTGAACAACTCTCAACAGAAAGATTGAGGTAACAATCTTTCCAAATGTTTCCTTTATAAGATGAAAAACATCTCTGGAGGCGATATTTAATACCCTCCTCCACATGTAAATGGCTCCTGCATGTAAAGACAGACACTGCTTGCACTCACGGATGTTCTCGGTGTTCTCCTGCACGATGTCGGTCTTCAGCAGGTTGTCGGCGAGGATGAAGGCGCCCTGCTCCACCGTGTCCAGCAGCGTGGTGGCGGCCCTCAGCTGCTCCGCGGTGCTCAGCTGTCTCCACGCCGCCTGCGCCTGCGGCTGCAGCAGATTGTTGACGGTCTCCACCATGGCCTGTGGAGGCAGATCATTGATTCAGTGAGAAGAGCTAAGCTGCTGAGGGACTGCCGCTGTATGTGGAGGTGATGTGGTAAACGGTGCGAGTGAGGGGAGAGGAAAGGGGATGAAAAACAAATCATGCAACCCTGAGGGACGGTGGAAGGAAGAGGCATGAAGTGTTCCCCCCCTTTTTCATTTGAAGTAATATTCCTTGATAATATTTCTACTGAGCAATTATATGCTTTTGGACATAGAAAGTAGCACCTTCATCTGTTTTGACATTGAACATGATGTTACACTAGTTGTTATCTTCTAGACAAATGAATCACCACAATACTAGAGGCGAGTTTGTACATGACTTAAGGCTAGAGTCTTTAATTGGTCTGATTAATGTTTCTCCATGCAGACGCTCCCAATGCACTACACACGGAAACATTAAGACAGTGCATGAACAAGGTATCGCTGCTAGCATCAATCTGCAAGCATCCTTCCTGCATTTTAAAATCACAGAACAACTATTAGGCCTTCTTTATAATCTTCACACAACAACGCCAAAGCAAGGAAGCAAGGACGAAACATTCTCGAAGACAAGATGAAAGATTAAGAGCCATTAAAGATTTAAAAAAGCCAATGGCAAGATATATGAAGAGAATACTAATTGGTCAAGCCAAGCAATTAATTCAATTCTGCACAGAGGAGCAAAATGAGTGTGAGAGTGGAAGAAAATACATTTCTGAGGTGGGCGAATGCAGAATTATTAGACATTTCCTGCACGGCGTATAATAGTAACCAATCCGCCTTTAAAAGAGGAAATCTCATATCTGATGTAAAAATGGTTTGACTTTTGATTTTCCTTTTTGCACTTCTTCAAAAGCCAGTTTAATCTGTGACATGCAGAAGATAGAAGATCTGATACGTGTTAAAAACAGGGAGTGTCAAGTTCTCTCTGAACTTCAATCAGATCCCTGTTTTGATCAGCGGATTATGAAAGAGTTTGAGTGTGACTCAGAAAACAGCAGAGATAAAGCTACAGGCGAATAAGAGGAATCGTGTGCTTTAGTGTATCAACTGACTTCCTGATGAACAGAAGTGTAATGGACCCCCCAATTACCTCATGATGTTAAGTTGTATGTTTGTTTGGAATGGCTGTGATAGAAGTGGAGATTGTGTTCGGCTCACTGACGCTGGATGAGAATTTCAAACAGCACCAGCTGGCTTCTCCTCATTCAAAACATACCGGGCACACACGAGCCGCCCACACACACTGAGAGGCTGACGCAAGAGCGAACACACACCTCTGCACCTGCTCGTACACAAAAACAGAGAAACTCGCACGCTCGTGTGCACGCAGTCTGGCAACTTTGATGTAATTATTCATTATCTGCAGCCAATCTCCAATCACACCTCCTGACATTCAGCTCCAGGCAGAGGTTGATTCGCTTTCAATTAAGGAGCTCCTTTTCTTCAGGCACTGACATTTTATTTCCCTTTGTTCACCACTGCAATGTTTTTTTCAGCACTTCTTAAAACACTGGAATAATGGTTGTTCAGGGGAACGATTGATGGACTCGCTGCTTTGCATGCAGCGGAGACGTAGACAGAAGAACAGGGTTGAAGAAAGGCAGAAGAAGGGGTCAGTAACTTTGTGAATGCACAATGGATAATTGATAGAGTGAATAAAAGTGTGTATGAAACATTTACCAAAAGCGGTGTGGTAATAAAGATCAGCTTTCTTTCAGGCATTTATGATGCAAAAGAATGAAGCTGACAGTAACTCATGGAGCATCTGTTGGACATGTTACCAAATCGCTGAGACGCAAATTATTCATTGCTGATATTAATATGTCCGTGGCATGGCAATTTTGCCTCATTAAAACCAGATAATTGAAATCTCAGGACTGAAGAGAGATACTTCACATACAAAACATCTATGTTAGTGTTAATAATGTCCAAAAGAAAACTATACTCCTACTGATATCCAAGTGAAGCATGTCAATGCCTTTGTCCTCGAAAATGGTTAATAACAATTTAGAAGAGTAACATTTTAATGACTGATTTTAAATGCCATTTTCTTAATGTCTTTCGTTTTTTGTAAAGCACATTGAATTGCCTTGTGTTGAAAGGTGCTATATAAATAAACTTGCCTTGCCTAAAAGTAAGTCCACACTGAATGAGAAGTGTCTTTCCAGTGTTATACTTTGTGTCCCTCTTGTTAAGCTTTCTACAGCATGTGTGTCAAACAGCATTGGAGCCTTCAGTTAAAAACTGATGTCATGTATCCAGATCTTTCTTTCAAAGCCAATGCACCGACAAATTCTCCAATTCACGAAGAAGAAGAATGACAGAAATCGTATATTTTTTTAAACCGCAGTGATGGCTATGATATCAATTTTGCATTGTTGTATTGTATGTTATCTCCTACCAACAAGACCTGTAGGTATATTTTCCCCTCAAAATGTATAAGGAACAAGTCAGAAGAGTGTTTTTGTGACACAGCTTTGTAGATTCGAAGCAAGCATGACCAAAACAGACTTGAGAACAACACCAACATCTTCCCCCTGCAGAATCAGCACTCAGATATGCGTCTACTACAGCATGCCCACTCTGATGTTAAACATGAAGCTACAGCCAGCAGCCGGTGAGCTGGAGATGTGCGCCCATGCAGCAGCACAGTTGAGACGTGATGCCATTAGCACGCTGCCACTCCATCCGTCACATGTAGCTTCCAGTCTGCTGAAGCTAACTCACACAACAAGGTAGTGTGTTCTGGTTCCTGGTACAAGAGGGAAATGCTCCTCAGCTGCAGGAATGTTCCATGTGGAAAAAGGAGGAGGAGAAGGAGGACAGGGCGTGAAAAGCTGCAGAGCATGGGCCATTTTGTAGTGATGCAGAGAGAAGGGAGGAGCGGTGGACATTAGGCTGCGGTCCAAGGTGTGTGTGCTGATTGATGAAATGAACTCTAGGTCTGGGAAATTGATTCTGGCGGAGGCTGATCTCCCTCTCCTCCTCCCTTCCTGTTCTCCAGTCGGTTCCTCTCCCTTTTGTCTGACTGAAAATGAGAAGTACAATCAACACAAGACAATCAATGTCTTTCGGCTCAGGTGAAGCTTTTGCATCATTTCTGGTTTTTTTCATTTGACCTGCGAGCCAAATCCTCGCCTTCTCTGAAAATCTCTGCAAGCTTCTCGTTTAATATTTCATTAAATCTCTCTTGTAGGCGGGTGGTTGTGTCTGTGAGTTTCTGAGGGATTATCTCTCTGCTTTTTGTCTATGTTTTACGTTTAATCTCACTATTGTACTATTCCCACACATCAGCCCGTTTATTTATTTATCAACAGCAGAGAGGCTGACTTTCATTACAAATACATTTTATTAGAGACATGCCTTACCCAGTTTTAGAAGCATGTATTTTAGAAGTACAAAACTTCATCCATGTTGACCTGTTGCCTAATTGAATTCAAGTTTTTATACTGTATCAGTACAAAAACCGCCATGTTATACTCTGAATATAAGATTGTTTATTTAACAAAAATAGTACAGTTTTGTTTCCTAATTATTTCCAGTTGCTACTATTTCACTTTTGATTTTACAAATTAATTTGTTCAATGTAACGCTAATTTAACATTTCCTGCAGACATTTCAAATTGTAAGGAAATACTTTCTGTTCGGCTCTTAAAATGTTGTTTTGGAAGTGAGTTTGTGATTTTGTATTTTTCACAGGAAAAAAATCGAATGTGAAGCAGCTGTCAAGAGGATCAGCACCTCTAAATGTGAGGCCATGGTTCTCAGCAGGAAACTGATGGACTGTCCACTCCGAGTAGAGAATGAGTCTTAACCTAAGTAGAGGAGTTCAAGTATCTCGGGGTCTTGTTCTGAGTGGGTGGACAATGGAGCGTGAGATGGGCTGGAGAATCGGAGCAGCGGGAGCTTTGTGCACCGTTGTGATGAAGAGAGAGCTGAGTCAGAAGGCCATGTTTATTCCTACCCTCACCTATGGTCATGAAGGGGGGGAACATGACCAAAAGATTGAGATTGTAGATACAACAGTTCAAATGGGTTTTCCCCGGAGGGTGGCTAGCATCTCCCTTAGGGATAAGGTCAGTCATAGCGAGGGACTCGGAGTAGAGCCTCTGCTGCTTCACGTTGAAAGGAGCCTGTTGAGGTGGTTCGGGGAGTAAGGGTGCCACCTGGCCGCCTCCCTAAGGAGGAGCTGGGCGGAGGCTGAGGGGCAGACCCAGGACCAGGTGGAGGGATTATATTTCCAATTTGCTTGAGAGCATCTTGGAAGTCCCCAGTCAGAGCAGGTTGATGTTGCCAGGGTAAGAGAAGTGTGGGGGCTTGGTTGGAACTGTGGTTGACAATGAAAAAAATACATGTTTTTTTCATACTAGTTTAAACCAACTTGCAGAAAAGCTCACACTAGTCACAGGGCCAAGCTAACTTTAAAGCTACATACTGTAGGTACAATGATATGCTATTTTTTCTAATCAAAAATTCACTATTAATCCCAAACATCTTGTGAGAAGTAATCAATTGTACTTCAAAAAACACCTCAAGCACTCTTATTTTACATTTAAGAATTACCAGTATGCATGTATTAATAATATCATGCTACCTTAATAAACATAAATATAGGATACAATCCCTGAAAACTCCTTCATCTCACAATATTCATAGCTCCCTGCAGGCCAGATGAGGATATCTCTCCGTTTATGAGGAGGAGGTTATCTTCATCTTCCAACAAATTTACCGCCAGAGAAATGATATAATCTCGTTACATTCTGGAATGAGGATCCTCCCTCCGTTCCGCCTGCTCTCAGGTCATCTGCGCTACTACCCTCCCCCGGTCGTCTCTGTGTGTGAAGGTGTCGTTTTAATGAGGGGTCGCAGCGCCGGATCCTCCCTCTGTCCTCAACATTCACACTCACTTGGCTTCACAAGATATTATGTTGATCTTTTGTGTGTTGCACGACATACTTCTCTGCTTTAGAACACAATACATGCCGCAGGAAGACACTATCCAAAGCTAGCGTGCTTGACTTTAGCTTAGTGGATGGACATAATCTCAGTAATTGGACCATAATGTCACTACCATAAACAAGCTGCTGTTACTATGAGGCACAGGAGGCCGCTGTTTTCATCATGTTTGTTCGAAAATCAAAGGGCACCACGGGGAATCCTGCAGGGCGAACACAGAACATGATACGCTTTGTAGTTTATCAAGGCCAAATTGGTTATGACTTGTGGCAGAGATCACTGCTTATGAACAACCGAGACGGATTCAGAAAAAGTCACAACCAATGATTGTCTCATAGGCACAGGTGTGAAGTTGATGCTGAAGAGATAACACGTCAGAACGAGGTGAATTCACCACTTAAAACCAATGAGAATCACTCTTTACCTCATTTAGACATTAACCTGAAGCCCTGCACTTTATCTTGGAGTGTGTCGTCCTTCAGCACAACCGCACCTGCACTCACACACTCTGCCGTGTTCCCAAAGTACTGAGGTGTGTTTGCAGCAGCAGAGGCAGGTGCGCGTCTCATTTGCTTTGAATTCCTCTGTTAATCCCATTTATGTCGACCACTAGGGCCCCGCTGGAGAAAACATTGCCCAAATTCTCTAATCAATGAAAAGTCCCTGAAAGGCTGGCGGCGCGTGCAGTCGATGGCGGTGTTTACCTAAGGCCACAGATGTTGCTCCATTATTCCGCTTCGTCAAGTGAAAGCTCCTCAGAGGTGTTTGAATTTATCAACCCAGCGAGGGAGCAAGAGGAGGAGGTGCACAGCAGAGCGTACAGTCAGCTATGGGAATGCACGAAACAGCCTCAGTGTGGAAGCATGAGGCCAGGTGCTGCAGCTGCAGGTAAATCACAGAGTTGTACCTTCTTTAGCCGTGCCACTGACTTGGATCCATACTGGTGATATTGGTGTATTTGACTATGTTTCTGCAGAATGAAACATATCATCAAATATTGGATTGCTATGAAAATGTTAGAATAAGTCATCAGAAATATTTATTTATCCCGGGGGAATTAGTTTTTCCTATTATAGAATGTAGTAAAAAATAAATAATAATAATGCAAACATTAGGAGTAAAATATGTAATTTATGCAACATATGCAACATATCAAATAAAATATATGAGTATGTTTTTATTTTTAGATTCAATACGGTTAGATTAGATGTATTTTATTCATCCATATTGGGAAATAGTTTTGTTGCAGCAGCATGTTTAGACTTTATATTCAAGGCATTGCAACCGAGTAAAAAGTATATTATAAATAATAATAATATATTCAAAATGTTGATCTAAATAATAACTTAAATGTTTACTTTTTAAGTGAGGTGTCACCTTATATGTTGTTGTTTAAACATTTTATTAAAAAACCAAGCACCAGTTCATTTAATTTGTCGAATACGTTGACCTACTCCCTGATAAACCACTTTCTTTGTGCTATGAGCTCATTGTAAAACGATGATTGGTGCCGAGTTGTCATTATGTATATGTTTTCCATACTTTTGGTTGATAATGGGTGACTAATACTCAGAGTAATGCATTTTTTCAATTATTGGCAAAACAGAAAATTGCCAATTGTTGGTCTTTCCATGGCATTGAGAGAAATAAAGTGTGCATATACTGTATTTAGGAAACCACCAAAATATAAGCATCTCAGAAACACATTTGCAAGTGAGCACACTCGTCTGTAGGCAAACAGTTGGATATTATTTGCACACATGAAAAAAAAAAAAAGAAGAAATCGCACGGTGCCTTCTGACATGCCTCGGAGGAATGTAGGCAAATGCATGTTGCTTTACATGAGCTGCAGAGCGTGCACACAACAAACGTCTGTCTCTAATGAGAAGTGCAGCTTTATGGGAGCATCTGTACGGCAGACAAGATGTCAACTTATTCCACAGTTTTCCCGCCAAACTATTCTGATGACAGTTCACATGTCACCTCAGGAATACCAAAACCACTCAGCAGCACGCGAAAAAACTGAGAGAAGCAATAGAGGCCCCCCCCCTTAAATTAGGACAAACATGCATTATGCATCAGGGAGAATCACAACACATCATGACTTTGGCTGACAGAGTAGTTAGAAGTTGACTTGCTGCAGTAATGAGGTCACTTCTGTGGTTCTTAAGCATTTTCTCAGAAAAGTAGAGTGTGCTGGATGCCTGAGAGCATTTCCTTTTGACTGATGCTATCCACTTATGTGGGTTATTTCACTGGAACACAGTGCTGATGTGATGGTTTAAGGGCATTTTTTAAATGATTGAGGCACCTGAGAAAAATTCATGCTCAGGCCAAACACATTAGAGGAAGAATTCCACGACACGTGCATGCAGGGGGGAAATGATGACATATGACTTCAAGGCATGGAAGTGAACTTGGATTATATGATGAAAGATGACAGCAGAGTTGCCACAATGAGGTAATGGAGGGGATTTAGAGGGGGGAAGATTTTGTCCAAATACCTGAACATAAAAGCGGCAAGAGCGCTCTCTTTTCTGCAGCTGCAACACAAAGAAAATCAGAGTTAGGAAAAGGTTAACATATCAAACAACTCCTCTGAAATACATTTCTTTCAGCAGCTTGAAGTAAAGATTTGAATCACTTTCATAAATCGTGTAGCAAATACATTAATTATACCTGATCTTAGAAACACATCAGATGCTCGTGTGTTAATTAGCACTAAAACGAGATGTACAAGCCATGTGGGAATACACCTATGGCTCACTTGAATGTGATTTCAAGGTAAGTATTTCAGGTTTCAGTTGTGATGCTCTGCCATGATTTAGCACACCTGAATGATAGGTAGCTCGGTTAGCACTGCACGCACTGAATTATTTTAATCGAGTTCTAAAACGAGCAGGCTAGCCAACAAAGCTTCTGTGTGGCTTAACAGCTAGAATCTGGTACCGTGCTAAATCCATGCAGATTAGCTCCTAAGAGCACTGTTTCCTCATAAAGGAGCCCCGTGCTCCACATCACAGCCCACTCCTCTGGAAAGTGTGAGCCGGCTCCCCTTTGATCATGAGCAGCACACTGATCTCTCCGTTTGCCAACTCAATCCTCTCATTGTCTGCTGGCAGGAGCATTGTGCAGCGCTATCGGCAAAAACAATCTTTAATTCGCTTAGCTCTCTGCAGATTGTGTCAAAAAGGATTGGAGGTAAACATCAGCCGGGAGGACGTCCAACACGAGGGAGAGAGGTACAATGGACGGAGAATTATAAATCCCCTGACCTCCTTAATAAAAGCTCTTTTCATTTAACTCCACAGAACTGCCTTTTTGAGCCAGTTCCTCACCTTTACAAGAGAAACTAAAGACTTCGGCAGCTATCTCCACCACAGCAGATCTTCAATGGGGGGTTTTATGAGAACCCTTTTATAAACAGAGGTATTATAAACTGTAGATCCTCCTCAACGTGAGTTTCCTCATTGCCAGCCCCTTTGCTTTCGGCCATCTTTACTGCCTTGCCTCTCCATTGGAGGACACTGCCACTAAAATCTCAATGGGGACATCTGTGTGTGTTACAGCAATGAAATAAAAACGGTCTGCCCCCCGAAAATATATTTTAGACCAGGTGTTCATTCTCCCCTACAAGTGAAGCCGCTCCTCCAAGTTAACGAGTGACATTTTAAATGTCACTGATGTTTGCTGTTGAGGAAGTATTATTTGTGCTCGCAGTGAGTCGCTGAGATGATGCAACACTCTCACAGAGCTTGGATCCGAACACCTACGCTGTACTATTAGTATAAATCAAATGATGCATATGTAGTGCTTTATACGAGCATGACATCCTTTAAACTACATCAAAGTTGAACTGATAGCATAATGCATGAGAGCTACATATATGCTCTCCGCTGTAGTTGAAGGTGTTTCATATGCATTGACCTCAGGATAATGCTAGGTCTCACTTTTTCTGACAGCAGCAGCAGCAGCAGATCATTAAAAAAAAACCTACTGTTCAGGTTGCACTGGGTGGAGGTGATGTGGAAGGTACGGTAAGCATACATTTTGAAAACTCAGAAAGGTTTTGGACTCATAAATTGGCACTTTTGAGTTAACGTTGTAAGCTTTGGCGTAAAGGAGTAGAAACCATCCTGTTAGATAGCCATATATGTATTAGATATTCGTTTGTGTACCTTGTTGAGGCTCCGTGCAGCGCTGTCTTTGCCACCGGGCGTCAGGTTCCTGAGCTGCACGTCGAGCAGGTCCACCAGCTGCACCATGGCCTTCACGGTGAACGTGATGTCTCCCGCCTGGAGATTACGCTTCGTTTGCTCTGCTAACTCCCGGGCGATGACTGCAGCCGTCTCTCCGGCTTTGAGCTGGAGGAAAAAGGACAGAAAAGAATCGAAATTAGGTGATAACTGGCACAGATGTATTGCTTATATTCTTTAACTCATCATATACAACCCATAAAGATGACAAATTGCAATACATATTTGTAGCCCTAGCCAGTTAGCCTATATGTGTTCCCTAACTGCTGCTTTGCTGCACACAGTTATTGTGGCGAGACGGCACTCAGCTGAGGGCCAATATTGTATCTGGAAGCAATTATAAAATCAACCAATGAGGGGATTTCCCCAGATAGCCTTACACCTTTATGAAGCTAATGGAGAGCTGCAGTGTGCAAGTTGTACACAGAGGACACATCCTCTACAATATTCATTTTTCTTTTGTTTGGACGAGATGTGATTTTTGAGTCTTGGGATTTGTTGAAAACAGAAACATATGATTAGTATTTCCCTTCCGTGTTTTAAAGGCTTTATTTCTATTTAGGAATCCTTTACTGTTTAATTTCTAACTCACTCTGACACACTCTTCTGTATTACATTATTTTTGACTGACAATGCAGAAACAATTACCCTGCATGTATACAAAAACAATAAAACCCAAAGCTAATATCTTAGCAACCAACAATAGGATGTGGGTTTCTGTAGATGCTGCTCCTGTACATGAAGCTTTATCTGGATACAATTAATTAAATAAATAATCTATTATTATCTATATATATAAAATAGGGCCGGGACTTTAACGCGTTAATTAAGATTAATTAATTACACAAAAATTAACGCATTTTAATCGCACTTATTTTTGCACCGCGGAACGTTTCTCACTGGATGAGTTTCAGGCGTACCGATTATACTGGAGCACCAACTAACGTTCATGACTTCAGACAACAACAAACCACAGTGAACAACAGTGGGAAATGTTGTTTTAAAAAACGGACGGATGGAAGCGTCGATAAGAGCACGGTTGTGTGCAAATTATGCATAAAGGAATTCGCATATCACCGCAGTACATCAAGCCTCAAGTATCACCTCAATGCAAAACATATAGCAGCTAGCGTGGAAGCTAGTGTGGACGTTAGCCTCTTTTATCGCGTTCACACCAAAAAGAGCCGGTACTAAAATTAGTTCATGAGAACCTTTTTACCCCACGAAAGCAGGGACTTTCGTACGGCTCTCTTGTGAGAAAAGAGCTATATTTCTGATTGGCTGGGCGGATTGCAAACCACGCCCCGTAAAACTCCCAAAAAGTTTTGTGAAGCCGCCATTTTATTATCCTCGCATTAGCATTAGCATTAGCCCAGCGCAGAAACGCAGAGAGACTAACTTATGGCAACACAAAATAAAACATGGGAGCGGTGGAGATGAGGAGGTGTCGGCGTTCTGGCGATTTACTCGGAAGGCTGCTGGGACTCCCAGCAGCTTCTACTGAAGCCAGTCCCCAACTCCGGGGACTTTGGGCGGCAGTATACGCCGTGAAGTGGTTTGCGGCCTGCCAGTAAACCCAAAGCAGAAGAAGAAGAAGTGACGTCAGCGGCTTCATTTGCCTAATCCTCCCCCAGGTTCAAAGATTTCTCATGAACTAAATTCTCATGAACCTTTGTGGGAAAAGTACTGCGGTGTGAATGCGCCTAATGGTATACTAAAATCCATGTGAACAAAATTGCTTCTCACTGTTCTCAGGTCAAATATTTATATGTGATTAAAAATGCGATTAATTTCGATTAATTAATTACAAAGCCTCTAATTAATTAGATTACTTTTTTTAATCGAGTCCCGGCCCTAATATAAAATAATAAAAGCATTTCTATAAACATGAACAAGTTCAATAATGTATAATAAAAAAAACAAGATATTTTTATAAACATTAAAGTTAAACTTACATGACCAATGAAAGACATTGACTACAAATATTGATATAAACATGATAAGTCAATGGTTAAAATGTAAACCTTGTAATATATAAGTTGTAAATTACAGTATATACATGTGTGTAATGTATTAGTATTAATAATAAAAAGTGATTTTCTGCTCAATTGTAAAATGGCTAATACCTCAAATCGTAAGTTAGTGTTACTATAACAAATCTAGCTATTATTAGAGTAGAAACTAAATGGCCACATGAGTTTTCTTTTAAAAGGTAACGCTCTTATATCTAAACCAGGGGTGTCAAACTCAAGGCCCGGGGGCCAAATCCGGCCCGCCACTTCATTGTATGTGGCCCACAAGAGCTTGCAAAGAATATAATAAGTTTATTATAATGTTACGTGCCGCTTTACAGGAGAACGTTGCCCATAAACTACATGTCCCACAATGCATCTCATTTTGTGACATGCGCAATGAAGAGACTTATTATTATTTTCCCTAGACTTCTGCTTTCAGACGTAGTTAATTATTAAGTTATTACCCTATCCGATAATAATCCAATGCAGAGGAAATATTGTAAAATAATATATTATTTTATATTTATTATGTATATTTATCTATGTATATTTATATAGCCTTAAAATTACCACCGGCCCTTAATTAATAATTCTAATGTGGCCCGCGATGAAATTGAGTTTGACACCCCTGATCTAAACTGTGAGCTGTGGAGGCATCTGTTTGCTAATGAGGCTCACCACAAACCCTGACACAAGTTTATCCCGGTTTTCAAATGAGAGCCTACCTACAGTAACTATCTCTACCTAATAATGTGACGAGGTGTACAGTTGCATATCAAACGTTTCCATGCTACACCTAAAACACAACGGCATGTACTATTGGGTCTCCATCTTGAGAAGAGCATAATATAACTTCGCATTCATCTTGAATCATTCCAGGAACTCCTTTCAAGTTGTTTTTATTAAAAGTCGTTTAACTTCAAGGATGTTTCACTGATAGACTTGATGCAGGAAGATGAGCTTTCAAACCGCAGTGGCACTAAGTACAACAGATTTACTTCGGCATCACTTGCTATCATCGCCTGTGAGTTTATTAAGCCAATTATGCTCTTTATTAGTCTTCTTCACAGAGGTTTGTACAGGGGAACGTGCCTCTGGAAGATGTTGTCCTCTTAATGAGGGGATGGACAGTGTTTCTTTTTGTCTAATATCATTGTGTTAGAGCCATTTTCATTTATTATTTGTTATATGTGCGTCAGTATCACGTGCATGGCTATATGCCTATATATGGTAGGTTGATAGGACACAGCTGGGGGTGATGAGACGGGGAAACGGAAAAGTATTTTGACCGTGTTCTTTTTGTTCTTTTGGAGACTGAAACTTGTATTAAGTATGAAGCGAAGAAATGTGTCCTCCTGTTTATACGCCGTCTGGACCAATCAATAAAGCTCATCTAATTCAACCACGATCTCCGCTTAATATGTTTGGAAACAAAGAGAGGCGTGTCAAAACCCACCCGACAGAGAGGTGGCTATTAACATGTAGACAAGGATTAAAACGCCACCACACATTGCTTTTATCCTCCATATTGTCCTCACTCGTTTTGTCGTTGGAAGCATCTGGTAATGAGCAGATCAATGTACAGGAAATATAAAAGAACGAAGTGGCAGATGGGCATCTCTGACACGATGGTCTTAATTAAAGTGTTCTACAGCGGCCAGCAGAAGAAGAACATTAATGACACTTCTCTTTAAGTGCACGCATTTCTTGATTGTCACCTTTTTTCTCAGATGTCGAGGATGTGCAGCCTCAGAGGAGCTTTACTGCTCAGAAATACACCTGATCGTCCCTCTCCTCTCTATTTTGTTCTGCATCCATTTCTGAACACTCCCGTTAGTTTAATGGGCCGAGCTCGGTGCCGGTGAATACATCAGAGGCGTTATAACATGCACGCCTCAGGGGCCTGCGCTATGGGTTTAAAGGAGAACATGTTCAACATTGCTTGCCATTCATAGTCTGGAACCCTGATCCCCACTTGCAGCTACCCTTCTCCTCTCCTGATTCGATTGTATTACAGATTTAAACAGGAAGCTTTAAATGGGGATCAGCATAATAACCTGCTGCAGAGGCAGGAGGATATCTTTCTTTTAGGAGAAATCTCCGGCTAATCCTCAACATGAATTGACTTGTCAAGAACAGACCACACATAACTAAGAACCTGCACTAGTAATGTTTTATATATACACCTTTTCTTTTGAATTGTGAACTGTGCAACATCTTACTTAGAAAAGGGATGCACCAATCATAATTGTTCCCTTCCCTTAAGTGTGTTCTATAGGTTTGTATGCATGTAAATGGTCTGCAAAGGCTACAATCCCAAAGTGTCTCTCCCACACACTCCCTCCCTGCCTGAAAAGCCTCCATTGAACTCCTTTGTTTACTTCCGGAACATAGTAACATGTAAGCGGTTGAACAACAGCCGGCAAGCTAACCAATCAGAGCAGACTGGGAAAATAAAGAATCTTATGAACAATAAAGCTTGGAAAAATGCCACAGTAGAGGCACACACTACTATTTTGAAACAGAGAATTAGCATAATGTGTCCTGTTTAAAGAATTTGAACAGCTATTGAGTCAGTATGGACCCAATATCAGTATCTGTGCATCCCTGACTCCTAAATACATTTATTTTAAAACATAGGCAAAGATTCACCTCCTAATCAAACCACATCTCGTCGTTTCACTGTTTCTGACTAATTCTATGTTGCAGCTGTTTACCTTCTGGCTGATGAGGTTGACCCAGGGGGAGGTGCAGTTGCTGAAGTCGGGCCCCTGGGGGTCCCAGTATCCCTCTGGACCCACGCACATGTAGGAGGCCACGCCTGGAGACAGAACAATGAAATCACATGTATTATATGAGAAGGGACAAACCCATCTGTAGCACACTGTGTTCTGTAACGTGTGCGCTCATAACTCTAAAACTATGTGGCAACCATTTTGTATATGGATGAATACTTATGCAATTGATTTTATTAACGCAAGTTTGCCTCTTCATTTAATATGGAAATCTAGTTTTGTATTCTTTTTATCTGCACTTTCCCTTTGCTGTAACACTTTAAATGTCCCCACTGTAGGACGAGGAAAGGGTTTCTAATTATGTGTGTTTTGTATGTGTGTGTGTTTCTGGAAGACCTCTCGTCTTACCCACATTTTCTCATTTCTCTTACTTTTCCCATTACAGAGTGATGAACTACACAATGCTCTCAGTCGGACCAACGTAAGTACTTTTTCTTATTTTCTAAATAAAACTGCGACATCCCAAAGAAACACAATTGATTAAATGTGATTAAATTAAACGATGAGAACAGAATGTAATTGGGCGGTTTTATCTTGCAGTGACTGAAATGAAGTTTGCTCCACTCGAGGCCAGCGGAGTTCGCCCAGACGGCGTCTGTATGCAGTCATTAAAAATCACACGGTGTCTGAGTGTGACACTTCCACTCCTGCATAGAAAATACAGCAACATGGGCGCCAATTAAGTGTGGCGAAGCTGAATTCATCGGGAAAGGTCAATTAAGCAGGCTGGGGAAATGGTATCTGCAGAAAGTATTGAGATTTAGGGAGTGTCACTCTTACAATGTTGACTCTTTTCCACACTTTTGTACTAAAACAGCTCCAGATATAGAACAATTCAACGATGTAACCATCAATTCAGCCTTATAAATCACAGTTGAAGAAGTAGTCAGATTTTTCACTTAGAGACCTTATTATGTTTTTCTTTCCCTGTAGTGTGTTTGATAGGTTTCAGTGCGCGTACATGGTCTGCAAACACATTTGACTGAAACGGTACTTTAAATAACGCATTTCCCTTTATTACAGCACTTTCCATCATGACAATACATAAAATATGGTTATATCAATATATTAACAGTAACAAAAACTATTGCAATATTGTGCAACAACCCTTCTATGTAAAATATACACTCTACTGCATTGTACTACTGTTATTACTCACTACTACTTCACTTTAGCTGTAGTGCAATAATCTCTGTTATGTGCAAAATACACATTAAATATTACTTCCTACTATGTCAACACATTCATATGTTTAAAAGGTAAGTATTTTTAACCATGTCTGCGTACTTATTTCTCCTTACTTTTATTAAATAGTTCTTTACTTTTAATTAAGTAAGCCTACTCTTTGTACTTAGCCTTGTATTTTCACTGTTACCCTTGCTGTTCATTTTCTACAGTTGGACAAATAAAAAATGTCTGTATTTGTAAACAGAGCGTGTCTTTGACCTGATCTTCCCTGTACCTCAAATAACCTGCGTCTCTATTTTCAGAGCGAGCCTCACCAGTTACACGCTGTCATTAAATCGCCCTTGCTGGCTCTGTTGGCGGGTGAGACGGGCGGCATTAGCAGATATACATTTTGATTGACACATCATTTCCTTCCCCAGTCCACCTAGGACAGCCTTGTTTGATGGGTTTATAAGATAAGGGACAGTGCATTTCCTCCTATATTGAGAGGCAGGATGAGGAGACAGAGTGACAGCGAGCGGAGAAGTGAAGGTAAGACGGGAAAAGGAGCTCGAGGAACTTTTCAAAGAGCGTCGGAGGAAGCTCAGAGTCGTGTCTCTGCTCGTCTGAAGAGCAGCGGCTTTGAAGAGCGAGCCGAGGAAAGGGGAGGGGGTGTTCCTCTTATCTTTCCATACGACGGCTGTTAGTGAGGTCTCGACGGGCGCGGGTGTCGCCCATTAATGAAGCCTCTACGTACGCGTGTGTGTGTGTGTAAAGATTGATGCTTTTCAGGCTTCGAGACATATTTCAACCCTATAAAGTCACTCCCAAATCTATAATACAAATCTGAATAAGGAGAAATTGCAGAAGATAAAATATAAATAAATAGGATATCTGATTTGCATCACCTCTTCTTTTTGTTTTACTTTGTTTCCAGGTTATATTTTAGTTCAATTTAAACTTAATTTCTTAATCATCAACCATTGTCAATTGTAGCATCTTTACTCAAATAAAGTCTCATTAAAATATGAGCTGCTTGATCAGCACTTAGAGGTAAAGCTTTTCCATGTAAAGGAGCCAACATTGATTTGATCTTAATGCACACTTCCCTTTCTTTGTGACATTAAGACAAAGCAGAGGCCTGACAAACAAAGCCCTTTCAACTAGCAAAGGATACACGGGAAAATGTGTCTGAGGCGTGCTAGCTTCCATACAGATGCAATGCTTAGCTATCTTTAGCCTAGCATGAGTGAGTCAGGAATGGAGAGTGAGGACAGGAAGCGATGCGAGGAGCTGCAGGGAGTGTAAACACAAAGAAACACACAGCGGCGAGCAACACGCAGCCTGAAGAGCCTGCAGACCGTCTGCTAACGAGAGTATCGACATCCTCTCTCATCGAACGAATAAAGAAACATCTATAATTCTTCTTTAAACACAGCAGGGTTTGAGCTTCTGGGTTCAGGTTGAACTAAATGTTGCTGTTAGGAATGCTATTCTGAACATTATATTTCATACTCTATTGAACCACAAACTGTAGAGTGGCCCAAATACAAACGAATGACACATGATAATAAAAACAAATGTTTGTGGTTTTGGCGAAAGCAATTCCTTAGTTTCGGGAAAACAGTGACAGCTCTTCAACGACAGATACAGGTATAACTACTTGCATCTACAATGTCAATCCATTTGGATCACACAGTTCCGACATAAACCAATACAATAAAATGAACTAAATTAGTTTTGAATGCATGGTATAATAATCCTCAACAAATCCAAGTTGTTTCAAATAAATACATGTAGGCTTTGGTATTTCAAATGAATAAAGCCTATATGTCTGACTTGTTTAAAAAAATCTATTTATCTATTTATTTCCCTGGTTAATGTATTTGTTAACAAAACCTCTTTTTCCATTTTATCTTTACCAGGTTTATGTATATATAAAATATCAAAAATGATGATAATCCACATTACCTAATGTTCCTGGGGGGCAGGGCATCTTGACCCCCGTGCCCTGCTTGGTTCTGGGCCAGGAGACGTCCATCATCACCAGGGGGTTGCAGTACTCCACCCTGATGTTGGGTAGCTTGGAGGAAGGTGGCCCCCTGCTGTGCTCCTCCTCAGGGAGCAGACCCCCCACCAGCGTGTGCACGGGGGCCGACGCTGTGGAGGTGGTGCGGGGCCACAGGACCAGCGTTGCGGGGGTGGTGGAGGAAGTCTTCTTGGCGGTGGTGGTCCTGGATGTGGTCCTGGTAGAGGTGGTCATTCGAGGGGTGGAGCTCGTCATCATGGTGGTGGTGTCCATGTAAACCACCACAGAAGAGGAGGATTCTGGGAAAATGAGGAACAAATGCAGAGTTGTCATTTTAAGGGAAGAGTTTAAACAGGATCAATTGGAGCTGGCAGGCGTGACTTTGCATTGGCGTGCATGGTGTTGAGTTTGGACCCCCACAGGTAAATAACACACACACCATCACTGTGCTCCTGCAGCACTGATTGTAAAAATAGGTTCCACAAAATTAATTTAGCAACAGGTTTTTTATGATTGTGTGGAGTTGGTTACACCACACAGGGTCAGAGGTCCTTCTTCATCATATATCTTACAACGTAGAAAGCAGCCAAGGTTTTTATGCTAAAGGATGTCCTGATTCTCTGCTTTTTAAGAGATGAAGCTCCGGTTTTTTCAAGGTTGATGCACAGTGTTTCCACAACACATTTTGTATTTAAGGATGGCGGCCATATTTTCTGCCAAGAGAATTATCAATGTTAATGTTGCATTTGGTTGTGTAACTAAAAGGACAGTAACTGATCTTAGACTCTTAAAGCCTATGACATATCTGTGACCTTTGTATACATTTGTATATATTAAATTATATTTTATTTAGAAGAGACTTGTATCCAAAGCAACTTACAATAAATGCAATAATAAACCATAAAGATACAAATTAAGAACATCAAAAAACATGCTAAAACATTAGCTTTTAGATGCACTAAAACACAAGCACACAAACAAGTGCAATGTGTATTTTTGGTTTAATGGCCAAGTTGCAGTGATATTGCATAATTATACTCTTTAGATATAGTATATCGTTCTAATGGTAATATGCCCATATTTTATGTTTATTAATGTACAATGCTTTCTTCACATGCTGCTGTTACAAAACACATTCCAAATTCAATATCAATATTGTATATCTTATGTATTCTATCTTTATTCAGCATCGCTCTGCTACTCATTTACATGCTGTTTTCAGAAATATGTTTCAATCTTCATGATGTAAAATTCACAGGAACTCTTAAGAGTTATCAGCATGTTGTTTAAGCGGTTTGATTAATAAAATACATCATATGCTTTCTGTAGCATCCATATGGTTTCAACAATAAGACTTCAATCTCATGAACACAAACAATCTGAAGAACGACTCCCCAACTGTGCACACAAAATGTTGCCCCGGCAGTAACAAAGGTCTCCCAGTGACTTTCTGGTTACAGTGTGTGGTTTAGAAGAATGGAGACCCTTTGAACAAGTCCTCATGAGAGAGCACTTTCTCACAAAGACATAACCAGGGTCTTTGCAGAAATGCAATTTGGTGAAGGCGGGAGGGAGGTGGGGCTCCACTTAATGCAGAGATACAATCAAAATGACAGAAGTGACAAATGTTCCCAATCTCTGTATGAAAGGGGAGCAAAACAAAATGTAATGAGGGTCCATTCTGGGTTGGCAGGTGTAATGGACATCATAGAGATAACACACGTCACCGCTGAAATCCACAATTTTCTCTGTACGGTGGATCAGGGAGCAGTGGAATAGAACGGCATAAATTAGTGGCAGACGCCTCCAGGCTGTAATGACACACACCGGGACATATCAGCAGTGAATGCTTTCAGCTGAACAGCATTCAGAGACAGCAGCGCTGATTAAAGGCGCTGCTGCAGCAGTCTCAGGCTGATGGAGTATTTGTTTTCTCTAACTAAAGAGTGTGTTGTGTTTTAAAGGTCTACAGGTATCCACAGCATTCCTGTGGAGGAACTCCATCAGTAAGCTGGAACAAGAACAACAACCTCATTGAATTACATGTGAGTTCAACGTTAGGAGCCTTATTTAAAGGGGACATATCATGCTATATTTGAACAATATATTGTAGGGCCATACCTATATAAAGTATATAAATATAGTTTTTTTTTCAAAATACCAAACAGATCCTGCATTTTAGCCATTCCTCATTTCGCTCTATTTGCTCTTTCCAGCGCTGTTTTTGCAGGGGGCTGCAGCTGACCACGCCCCCCTGCAGGAGAGGGGAGCGTGCTCTGAGATCAGCTGCTAGGCTGTCAGAAGAGGGGGAGAAAAAGAGATCTCAGTCCTCCGTGTTTTATTCTTATAGAAGTAAGAAGAGAAGTAATGGGGCAGAAACCCTCCTTTTTACGCAGCGGTCCAGACATAGACATCAAACGGCAACACATATTCAGTTGGCAGTTACTTTGGCATTAGGGCAGGGATATCTAGATACTTTCCAAGGTTTGACATAATGAATTGTGCTACTTTCAAAGCAAGCAATGATGTTTTCAAATCTGTAATCAAAAAGCTCCTCAAAAACGCTATCGAAGCAGTTCCTGCCGTTGCTAAGTTAGTTCAAACAGTAACAACAGACTATTTTTCTTAGCGGATGCATGTCAATTTAAATCAATACATGTACAACTATTTTTTAAATAAATAAAATCATTTTCTAAATCCATAAAAGCATTTCAATTAATATTGGGAGTCATATCGTTACTTTATTGAGAATGTGGCCTTGTAATAAGCGGGATAATGTGCAGTGACGCGGTCATTATGGGGAAAAGAACACCGACAGGCTGATCAGGAGCCCGACGCGAAGCGGAGGGATCTAGATCGGCTTGCACATTATCCCTTACATATGATTATATAGTCATTATTCATTTGTTTTAAAACAGGAGGCGCAAAAGCTTGCCTCGGGGAGGGAGAAAAAGAGCCACAGTGGAGAACAAACAGAAGGGCAACCATGGCAACCATGCGCGGGAAGTCTTCTTCGCTGCTTTTTGTGGCAGACTACAGCGCCACTTACAGGCCTAGCATATGTACTACAGCGTCTCCAGCGCTTTCGAGCAACAACGGCCGGCCGTGGCCCAACCTCTCATTCCCCCGATAGGTGGAGAATTGACCACTAAGCGGAGCACCCTTTTTGTGACGTAGAAAATCATTCAAATCTGTATCAGATCCGTTACAGCCCCTTTTTTTTTTAGATTTGGGTATAGAGGAAAAGAGAGAGGGTTGTATTTCTGACACTTGGTGAGTTCCCTGACACACCGGGGACACATATTCATGTATAAAAGACGTACAAGAGTGCATTTTGCATGATAGGTCCCCTTTAATAGCAACCGACTGAAAAGCTAAATTGCATGTGGAAAAATATTAGAAAATATCTAAGCTTTTGCATGAGTGTAAGTAGAGATGCAAGTGCATGATTAAGCTGCACAAAAGCGAAGTCACACGCTCATTTTGAATATCTAACAAGACAAATTCAATTACAGGAAACAAATACATATCTTATTAGTCAAAGTCTGAATTTTAATCACTAATATTGTCTTCATTAAATGTCTTCCAAATGGTATGTGTGTATCTATAGGATATTGTAGCTGCTATGAGTTACAGTAAATGTAAGTTAAATGAAAGTAAATACTTTTGCCGCTAAATTTCCCAGGAATTTACCTTACATTTTAGGTGGAAAACGTTATAAATAAGCTTTTGCATGTGTGTGAGTGGATGCAAGTCTATGAATAAGCTGCAGAAAAGCACAATCACATGCTCAAACATCATCCAACACAAACTGACACTATCACACAACAACAGGCATACAAAAATCACATGCATGCTCAAATAGCTATTTAGCATTTCCTCCGCCTCAGACACATCACCATTTACATCCCATAACCGCCGTCAGACATCATCAATATGCAGCATCATGAAAACAGGAGGGAGAAATATCTTCAAGGACAGCAGAATATTTATTTCATTATTCATGGGAGAACTAATTCAGGCATCTGCATTAAGCCCCTGTCACACTGTCCCGAAGTTGACACCCGATGGACACACGAATATGGAATTGTGAATTTCGCACGAAGATGGCCCCGAACCACACACGAAGGCAACATTTACATTACATTTAAGACATACAACTGCAACGAAAGTAACACAAACAATTATGTTAAAGTACTATGATACTGTACTGATATCTTCAGACTTTGTTCTTTACTTTATCCGTCGTTATATGTAGAAAATATTACGTTTTCTCCGTAATGTTGTTTCCATAGCAACAACAACTTCCTGTCAACTCTCCTTCAAAATAATATATTATATCCTTTTCAGTTTCACAGAACACAAATTGGGTTATTTACATAATATGTTTACATGATTTTGTTGTGCAATAAAACAACCCGATGGACACACGATAAAGGAAATGTTCAAATTCGGCTGTGATCGTAGCAACATCGGGCCATTCGTGAGGGCATCTTAAGCCATCGTATGACCGCCGGCGGAGTTTCTCAGGCTCCGGCAGCAACTTCGTGAGCGGTGGCAAAATCTTTGGCATGCCAAAAAATTGCCGAAGGACCTTGCGAAGGTTCATTTTCGTGTTGAATTCGTGTGTCAATTTTGCCCTTTGTAAGGCTATCGTGAGGGCATGTTGTTATCATCGGTGCCATCGGGCATTCGCCCCGATCAGAGTGAAGGCGAATGCCCGATGGCACCGATGATAACACGAAGATGACACGATTCGACAAGATGCCCTCACGAGTGCCTTACGAAGTTGCCGCTCACGAAGTTGCTGCCGGAGCCTGAGAAACTCCACCGACGGTCATACGATGGCTTAAATGCCCTCACGAATGGCGCGATGTTGTTACAATCAGAGCCGAATTTGAACATTTCCTTTATCGTGTGTCCATCGGGTGTCAATTTCGGGACAGTGTGACAGGGGCTTTAGAGAAGTCATGGAGATATGTTACACAAAGGTAGAGGCATCAATTTAAGTCTAATTGAAATCCTCCACTGGTGCATATCATGAAAGGAGACCATTAGAGGAGCTCATGGAAATCTGATGCTATGAGTTGAGCGCTCATATTGAGGTCAGGAAGGGTCAGCGTGCACAGGCGCAGATAAGCTAGCTGCTGAAAAGGTGTGCAGACGGACTGTTAGGATAAGGAGGTATTGTAGTGGTCAGGACTCTGCTGAGAGTTTAGCTGTGAGAAATGCAGACTTAAGGAAAGAATAACTCCAGAGTTTATATTTAAAGTATTGCAGCATGCATTAGCTGAGGACA